TGCTTGCCAAGAGAATTCCCTTTTGTGTCTGGGTACTGGCTGAAAGAGCTGCTCATCAAGGGAAGCCGAACTCCTTCACTGGGGTGGAGATCTGAGCTCCGTTCCTGCACCCTGCCAAAGGTGTTCCCTTTCACATGCCGAGGGATGAATTTCACTCGACTGCTTCACTCAGTGAACGAGATTCCAGTGCAAACTATGCCGGTTAAATGAGGACTACCATGAACTTAGAACTACTGTACACGTACTTAGAATGGCAATTCTATGGGAAGGCTTGATTATACAAATTTATTTCAAAACTGTAACGGGCAGGAATTGGTGGTAGATAGTTTGTTTGTTTTTTTAATTTATTTTTCACATTTCTGAACTGCCCATCTCCCTCAAAGAGAGAATACGTCCTTTCTTTCCTGGCGTAATTTTGTGGCTCCAGCTACATTTTCCCAGCTAGAATCAGAGATGCAAGATTAAAAAATAAGAATAAGCAATTGTTATTTACTAATAATTTAAAATAAAGTATTTGCTGTCATCTTTTATTGGAAAAAGTACAAAGAAGAGCAACTAAGATGATTAAGAGCCTAGAGACAAAATATATGAAGAACGGTTGCAGGAAGTGGGTATGGCTAGTCTAGAGAAAAGAAGGACTAAGTGGTGACATGATAGCAGTATTCCACTATTTGAGCAGCCGCCACAAAGAAGAGAGGTCAAATTATTTTCCAAAGCACCAGAAGGCAAGACAATAAACAATGGATGGAAACTAATCAAAGAGAGAAGCAACTTGGAATTAAGGAGAAACTTCCTAACAGTGAGGACAATTAACCAGTGGAACAGCTTATCTTCAGAAGTTGTAGGTGCTTCATCACTGGAGGTAATAGTAATAGTAGTAAAGTTGGAAGGGACCTTGGAGGTCATCTAGTCCAACTCCCTGCTCGGGCAGGAAACCCTACACCATTTCGGACAAATGGCTGTCCAGTCTCTTCTTAAAAACTTCCAGTGTTGGAGCATTTACTGCTTCTGGAGGCAAGCTGTTCCACTGATTAATTGTTCTCACTGTCAGGAAGTTTCTCCTTAGTTCTAGGTTGCTTCTCTCCTTGATGAGTTTCCACCCGTTGCTTCTTGTCCTGCCTTCAGGTGCTTTGGAAAATAGCTTAATTCCCTCTTCTTTATGGCAGCCCCTGAGATATTGGAATACTGCTATCATGTCCCCCCTTGTCCTTCTCTTCGTTAAACTAGACATACCCAATTCTAGCAACCGTTCCTTATATGTTTTAGCCTCCAGTCCCCTAATCATCTTTGTTGCTCTTCTCTGTACTCTTTCTAGAGTCTCAACATCTTTTTTACATCGTGGTGACCAAAACTGGATGCAGTATTCCAAGTGTGGCCTTACCAAGGCATTGAAGAGTGGTATTAATACTTCACGTGATCTTGATTCTATCCCTCTGTTAATGCAGCCTAGCACTGTGTTGGCCTTTTTGGCAGCTGCAGCACACTGCTGGCTCATATTTAAGTGATTGTCTACTAGGACTCCGAGGTCCCTCTCACAGTTACTACTATTGAGCATGGTGCCACCTATGCTGTACTTGTGCATTTGGTTTTTCTTGCCTAAATGTAGAACCTTGCTTTTTTCACCATTGAATTCATTTTGTGTTAGTGTTAAGTGTAGTGTTTTCTGTAGTGAATTGTGCCAGCTATTCCTTCTGCTTGGTGAGAGTTTCCCCATCTATCCTTATCCAAATAGATGAAATGTAGGGAGTACTGGGCCCAGAAAGAGCCCTGGGGCACCCCACTACACACTTCCCTCCATAGGCAGTTCCATTGAGGACCACTCGCTGAGTATTCCGGTCAGCCCTACGGATCCATCTGGGTGGTCTTCTACCCCACATTTTTTTTCTTGTTTGCTTTTGTAGGATGGGTCAACTACATCAGCTTCGTTTTTTCCAGTCAGGCTCTTTTTTCCTTTTTTGAGGATGGGAACTACATCAGCTCTTTTCCAGTCCTCTGGTAGTTCCCCTGTGTTCCAGGATCTTTGAAAAATATAGTTCAGTGGCTCCGATATCACATCTGCCAGTTCCTTGAGAACTCTGGGGTGTAATCCGTCTGGTCCTGGCGATTTGAACTCATCTAGGCTGGACAGGTGCTCACTAACGATTTTCTTGCCTATCTTTTTAAGAAAAGACTGGACAGCCACTTATCTGAAATGGTATAGGGTCTCCCTGCTTGAGATGGAGGTTGGACTAGAAGACCTCCAAGGTCCCTTTCAGCTCTATTCTGATTGATTGATTGATTGGTCTCTAGGAGTCAAAAATAATAGGAATCAATCTGCTATCTTGCTGGGAAGAGTTTTCATCAAAACTCAGATCTACTGCATCGGTAGGTACAGCTCTCTTAAGTTGGAATGCTCTTGCCTTCCTTGCCTGGTGGTGTGGAATTGACAAAGTTATTTCACATTGTTTATTTCCCTGTCAATTATATGCTAATGTGTTTTATCCCACCTTATCCAAAAGTTTTACATACATTGAAATAAGAATGAAATTCCTCACTTGGCAGAATCTTTTTTTTGTCATTGAATAAGTTTCATAGTTTGTTGTTCCAACCCAAAAGTTGTGATTGAACCTTCTAAAGGGTTATATATTGGTACATTACTGGGCACAATCCCAGTTGAACAATTCTTTTGATTTACTTCAGAGCTCAGATTCTGACATGATGATCTCATAACCATTATTCTTTCAGGATCTAAGGGCTGATACCCCACTTGGTGATCTATGGCATCATGATTTTTGGGGGAGTAAACTCAGTAGCAATACAAGCCACAAATCTTACCGACCGCTTACTGTATTGACTTTCAGGTGAGACATTTCAGGCTACCTTAAGTTTGCTTTCTTTTTGGAGGAGGGTCATTAATGGGGATAAAATTCATTGAGATGCTGTCTATTTAGTGAAATAAGAAGTCGTTTAGTGTTGTAAATATAGATTGATTTTCCCATCCGGATACATAATCTGTGACAACAATTTTGCGTTCCTCAGCCATGACCATTCTAGTATAGAACAACTTCTCTTGTTACAGACAGTCAGAAACATCTCATAAGTAAAATTTGGGCCTCATTTCTAGATTCCTAAGAACCCCGAAAGTATACTGTGCTTGCTTCCACACCCGTATTAGCAACATTTTAACACAACATGTAGTTTCATTGGTGCTTGCCTTGTTCTTTTGGCTGGAAGGCTCCATTGTGTTATAGTTCTCACTGGAATATATGGTCTGCTATAGTATAGTTGCTGTCACATCCACATATTCAGAACCTCTTGGGGAAGAAGTGAGTAATCTCCAGCCTTCCTTTGTAAACCCATGGACTGGTGGTAGTAGGATAAGTCCCAATATAAGCACTTAACAAGGAAAGGTTACTTATTTTTTTATAAATAACTATAACTATAGTAGCATTTCATTCAAAGTCCCATATTGCTATATATTGGATGGGAACAAGGTTTCCACTCCTAGTTGGAGTTGCCAAGGATTAAACTTGAGAGCTTTGGCATGCAGGACACATGGTGTACCATTTATGTACTCAGTTGGCTTCAAAACCATTCTTCTTGATTGCTAGAATTTTAATGTTGCCCTGGTACTAACAGTGGTTCAGAAACTGTTCTGGAACTCAGGTTGAATCACTGGTTGGGGGAGAAGAAAAGAAAAGGGGAAAACATGTAAAAAAGAAGAAAGGAACAAAAATTCTAAAAAGGATCTTCTATTTCTGGGTTGAGAAGAACCTGTTTCCTACTCTCTGATGCTTCACAATCTGGGATGCTAGTTGATAGGCCAAGTGATAAGATGCCTGCTTTTTGCATCCCTGATTGTCATCTTCCTTCAATATCTCCTCTCTATACTAAGTTACACAGGTACTGCCATCTCTGTGCACCTAAAGCACACTTTTGGATTATTTTAACATATTCTAATTTCATTTATTCCAATTTTTAACTTCATTGTTTTCTTTTTGTCTTCCCTTGCATAGGATTAATTACCTTTTAGCTGGAGGCTTCCACCCATTTGGCTTTCATATCATCAATATAATACTCCATTGTATTATTTCTGTCTTAATTGTTGATGTCTTCTCAATATTATTGGGTGGGCTGCACTATACCAATAAAGGAAGAAGGCTCAACTTTGTCCCCAAATCCTCCCTCCTAGCAGCTTTGCTGTTTGCCGTACATCCTGTGCACACTGAATGTGTAAGTACCTAATGACTCAGGTGTTAAGAAGTGCTCAGAAACGTCAGGGTTCCATCATCTAATCTTTTGTATTCATGCAAATTACCTTTCTTATATGCACTCCTCCATTTGTATGTCTGTCTACAACATACCTAATTTTATGTTGCTTGTATGTCTTTGCTTGTATGTCCTTCTCTAGTATACTATAATCCCTCAGAGAGATTTTGGTTTCAAAAGATGCCGATAATTTATATAATTATTTATTTTTAAAATGTATCTTGATTGGCATAACGATTGCATGGTGTACCCATAATTGGGAAGATTGATGATAGCATTTTGTAGGAGAAAGTGTAAGTACTTGTATGACCGAATCCCTAGTTTTTATGAATTCTTGGTAGTCAATCTCCTACCTAAACACCCCAAAATGTGCTGCATTGGATATATTCAATGTCTTTCTTGAAACAAATTTCTCAGGAACAGTTCATACGATCTTTATGTGGTTCAGGCAGAAGCAGCCCGTTGTGATCTGTTTCTTCAAAGCCAAAGCCAGTTATGGGTTCTCGGAGGAGCAAGAACTATGGTATTCATATTTTAACACTGGGAGAGCAGCTGGAAGCCTATGGTTATTTTTCCATATCGTATGAAGAGGATAGCCATTCAGTGCACTTCTGAACAGAGACTTAATCTGATGCCACCATTCAGTTGTTAGTTGAATAGTCCTTGGATGGTGACAGTTGTTTACACTAAGCAATATTTGGGGCTGATTTCACATTTGGAACATGCCAATGAAGATAGGTGTTTCCATAAAACTGAGGTAAGGTAGGGAGCCAATGGTGTCTGGTTATGTTGGTGTCTGGAGACACCATTTTGCCTATCCTTGCTTACCCTTTCAGCCAGTTAACAGATGTTTTCGGGTTTGACATTTGAAACTATCCTGAAGTAATAATACATTTCAAATGTTTACATATGATCTAGTCTTGTCTGTGACTGCCACTTACAAATGTGAAGCAATGTCTCGCTACGAAATGATTTGCTTTTGTTTTTTTTAATGACAACTACATCTGAAATTGGTTCTGCTCAAAGGGGTTGGTAGAGTGTTGATCGGAGAAAGCACTGTGATTCTGAAACCTGCAACTCTTGGGTGTGCAGATTGGATGTCGTTCCAGTGTTAAACAGTGGTTTACACATAAATCCCTCAGTCAATCTGGGAGGTCAAGGAATAAAATCAGAGAGAGAGATAACCAAGAGGGGAGATTTGTTGTTGAGGCTACATGTGAGTCCCATACCTATTAGTACCATGCTACAGGGTTTGGTTGATAGACCTATGCTTTTTTGGTTTTTGTGAGATTCCTTTTTTCCTTGGAATTAAATTAGCTATTTGACTATTTTACGATACACTTGGGGGAAAAAAACATTCACAGACATTGATGTCTCCTGAATGCTCCCTCCAGGCTGTTTCTCAAAAGTATAGGAAATGGCCAAAGAAGGGTGGGTTGTGGGTCATAAAGAAGTTCCAGTCTTCCAGTGGACCTGCAAGCTACCATCTCTGAATTCATGATTCCTTGCCTTGTGTCTTTTGAAGGGAAAACATCATGGCTTCTCTTCTCAGAATATTGTTGAGAGGAAGGATTTGTCTCTCTCTGTGATGGCTGACTATGGTTAGGCTACACAATTCCGTAATTCTATGCCTTGTGATAGCTTAAACGGCTATAAGTGTATTTACACTATTATTTGTTGATAGTGTCAGGGGCACTAGAAAATAGTTTTAAAGGGGATGTGGGATAGGTTTTCTAGGAAAAAAACATCCTAGGAAAAATCATGGTAAGTTGCTATGATCATTTTGTCATCCATTGGAAATGTTTTTGATGTCTTTGAATAGTTTTTCACAACCTTGATCTCCCACCCCCTCCCAAGTTAGAAGAGAAGTTTGGGGAGCTGAAAAACACATATTTGGATATAACCCCAATTGGAGAAGACTACTCAGAGAATAAGCAAGCTTATTAACTCACTTACTCTAAGAGCATATTCCTGCAAAGGTAGGAAGTTGGGTAGATGGTCTCTAAGGAATCCTCCGGGCCTTTTATTCTATGAATCTGAGATTGGTCTTCAGAAACTACAGGAAGTCCTCAACCTATGATCACAACAGAGCCCAAAATTTCTATTGTTAAGTGAGACATTTGTTAAGTGAGTTTTTCCCCATTTTATGCCTTTTCTTGCCATAGTTGTTAAGTGAATCACTTCAGTTGATAAGTTAGTAACCCAGTTGTTAAGTGAATCTGGTTTCCCCATTGGCTTTGCTTATCAGAAGGTCATAAAAAGTGATCAGTGAACCTTGGGACATAGCAAAGGTTATAAATATGAACCAATTGCCAAGCATCTGAATTTTGATCACATGATTATGGGGATGCTGCAATGGTCATGAATGTGAAAAGTGGTCATAGGCAGGGCTTTTTTTGTCATAGAAAGGAGTTCCGGCATCATTTTTGGATGGATTTTCCAGAGTTGCGTTCTTTTCCTATTGTTTCCCTTCCTATCCTCGTTTGTTTTTGAAAATGCCCCGCTGGTGGTACAGTGCAAGTGGGGTCCCCTCTGGCGCTGTCTGCCTTCTCTAGGAAGAGCCATGAGGTGCCGGAGCACCACAGCCAGAGTGTGGCTTGATTGGCTGGGTCGGACCATGTGGTGTTGAAGCCGATGGTGGTGGTAGGAGACACATAAACATGGAGGCCATCTTTCATGAGAGGGTGAGCGAGCTTTTGCCTTCCCTTAAAGATGGTGGGGTCTGAGGTTAAAAAGAGGCGAAGAGAGAGGAAAGAATGGTAGCTGGTGTGGAAGTTTGCCCGACAGCAAAACTTTGCTGTTTCAGTTCCTTGGGTAGTTCAAAGGCTGGTATGTCTCTGAAAATCTCTTTTTAATCTTTTATACTTTATATTCAAACTGCAGAGGGGAAGAATAAGAATAAAGCCAATGTCTTGTGATTTGGATGTATTATTATTATTAATAATATATATTAATTATGTATTGGTCAGATGTAAAGATAGACCTACACTATGAGGTTTAATCAGATCTATTTATTAAATTGGGTTTTACTTAAATTAAAAGTAATCTGTTCATTGACAAAGTTTCACCTTTAATTTGTTTCAAGTCAATATCCATATTAAACTCCAAATGTAAATTTTTCCACCTTGTTTGACAACTTCTTAAAAATAATTCAATCTTTTACAAGTAACCAAATTTTGTTTTATTGGGCCAATTTCATTCTACATTGAAAGCTGACATTTCCACTCATTAAACTAAATGGGTATGCCAATGGTAAATGTCCCAAAAGATTAATAAAATGCCTTCTTGTAATTTAAAGCCACACAGTGCATAGTAATAATAATATTAACTTACCTTGAACAAAATCCTAGTCTTTAGATACACTAAAAATTGAGGGGCTTTTTTTTTCAACTACAAAGGTAAACCTTGTAGGCAAGGCGGGTTGTATGAAGTGTGTGAGTTTCGGCACTTTTTTTTTTAACAAAAAAAAAACACTGGTCATAGGTCACTTTTTTCAGTGCCATAGTGAATGGTCACTAAATGAACTGTTGTAAGTTGAGGACTACCTGTATTACAGTGTATAATCACTCTTGAGAAACTACCATGTTTTCCCGAAAGTAAGACCTACCCTGAAAATAAGACCTAGCTTGATTTTGGGGGTGGGTCTAATATAAGCCCTACCCCTAAAATAAGCCCTAGTTTGGGGGTGAGGTGCATGCCTAAAAATCAAGCTGGGGTGGAGCTTACTACTGCAGCCAGGCTCCTATGGATCAACACTTGTCTCGCCGGCCCACTTCTTCTGTGGTCGAAGGAGCAGCTTCATTCTGCAGCTGAGAATGGAGCTCCAGCCTGCATTTCACAGTCAGAGGCCATTCTGGAAGGCCTCTGCAGCCGCGAACCGAGCTATCAATTCAATCCATAGTTCGGTTCTCAGCTGCAGAAGCCTTTCTTTGGCCGCAGAACAAGTGGGCCGGCTGGGCGGGGCTGTCAGTGGCATCGCCATGAGGTGAATGGAAAAGACACCCCCCCTGAAAATAAGACATAATGCCTTTTGGAGACAAAAATAAATAAATAAGACCAGGTCTTATATTCGGGGAAACATGGTATTAGAAAAAGATTATTTTTATTATGTACACACAAACACACACATACATAGACACAAACATTTGAAAATAATATATAGATTTCTTGCAGACATTTGCTAAGGATAATTAAATGAAAACATATTTAACGTTGAATTTGTGAGGCTTCTCTAATATTGGATTAGTTGGTATCCATCTTTCATTAAAAACAAATTCATTTTCACACTTCACTGCATATTTGTGAGGAAGAGGCATAGATCACTTAGGCTGGTATATGAAATTTAACATAGAACTCCAAAACGTTTCATAGTTGCAGAAGTCCCTGGATTTTGCAAATTGTTGTATCTTCTCTCTCCTTCTTATGAGAATAGTTGAATTCTAGTTAGGGTCACCTAGTGAAGTGGGAGGGGATGAAGCATTTCATTAACTCATACTGAAATGAAAAGGTTCTCAGTCTCGGTAGCTCTGATTAAATTGGGAAAATTCTGCCTAAAATTCTGGTGTGGATGCTTGCATTAATTTAAAAGACTGTTGTTGTCTAGGTGGCGTGTAAGAGGCTCATTTACTAATTCTAAACTCTTCTTCATTTCCTTATTAAGATTGCAGGGATCGTTGGCAGAGCAGACCTCTTGTGTGCCCTATTCTTTTTGTTATCTTTTCTTGGCTACTGCAAAGCATTTAAAGAGAGTAAGTACTTTTCCTCCTGAACATTTTTGGGTAAGCTATGCCATTTGATGATAAACATGAACATAATGCCTGAATTTGAAGACTCAGGAATAGTTTCTTTTCAGAAATCAGCATGTCCAAAATGTTATTTTGTCTATCTCACCTCCGTTCCCAACTCACCTGCATATGAGTTAACAATATTTTAGTTAACGACACCTTTGATTTTTCAATGACCGGTTGGAAGAATTATGGAAATTTGGGCAACAAGGAGTAAAAAAAAAAAAAAAATTGCACTATTATACATAGAAATTACATGTGATTTTTCAGAACTTATGCTGCAACATAAGTTTTACTTTGTTTGGGGAAAACGTCAGTTTTGTTTTTATTTTCACCCTTGAGTCAATTTACACTCCTAGTAATTGTCTCAGTGCCATTTTCTGGTCAGGCTCATAGAAACATTTTACCATTTCTTTCTCCTGGATGATTTTTTATTATTATTTCCGGTCTAGCTTGTTGTTCATCCATCGATTTCGATGAAGACCTTGACATCTTGTGGGTTATGGGCCATCAATGATGTGTCCGTAGGTGGCTAATAAGACCGATGTTAGCACGGAATGTTCTGCCACATACTGAATAAAGAAATGTAGACACTGTTAATTCAGCATTTGCAGCTCTGGCTTTGCGCTCGCTTTTCTTGTGCCAAGATTGTCCTTCTGTGTTCATATGTCTGGCAACCCTGGTACACCAAGATGTGCCATGTCGGTCGATCACGCGCCAGAAGTTCCCAAGAGATGGTGTTAATATCCAGGGACTTAAGGGAAGCTTTTAACGTGTCTTTGTATCGCTTCTTTTGTCCCCCGTGTGATCGCTTTCCTTGAGACAGCTCACCATAGAAGAGCTGGGATGGGATGCGATGATCCGGCATCCTTACAACATGGCCCGCCCAGCGCATCTAGCGGTCTAGCATACAGTCTTGGAATATCAACAAATGTTAACCAGGTCTAAACCCGCTTAGTTTCCAAACATAGACAAAACCAACCACTTCTCCATGCTGATACTTTTAAAAAGAAGCTAACTAACTCTAGGAATACTGTGTGGACATGCCTTTAGACTGGTGTGTATGTGTGTGTGTCCAAATTTAGACTTGCAGACTTAATTCCCCATGTTGACTGGGGAATTTTGGGAGTTGAAGTCCACAAGTCTTCACGTTGCAAAGTTTGTACACCCCTGCTTTAGATTTCCATATATATAATCAGTAGCATACATTTTATGTACCCATGCATTATATGGTATACTTACGATATTGTGTACAAACATTTAGTTAAGAAGTCTTAGGCTGCTTTGAGCTTTTCTATTCTGTGTTTTCTGACTCATCTCCTTGCCTAGAAAATAAACGTTGGGTTCAGACCTGGTCCTGGGAAAGACAGGAATCTTTGACTTTGCTACCTCTTTTATTATTTGGAGGAAGGTGGGCTACCAGTGTCTTATTTCCAGTTTTTCACACAACAATTGGGCTTCAGCTGTAGTTAGTGTTAATGCTTAAGCAGGATCAAAGCAGCCTTTCCATTCCCTCTTTCCCTCACCTGTGCAAGGACTCAAACGAAAGACAAACCCGCAGTGTTTTAAAACTGATGCTAGCAGAGGAAGCTATGACTGTGATAGCTCCCTCTAGCAATCAAAAATTATGCTGCCCTTTTTTTCCTTTTCAAACAGAGGGAAGAAGCAACTTGCTTCAGTTTTGCGCTTCCAAAGAAAAATAGGATGCAACATTATTTTCATCAGGAGGAGCAAGGCTACCCAAACAAATTAGTACTTGCTCATGATGAAGAAAATGGCTGCAGGATTTTCTTTCATTCTTTTTTAAAATTGTTGTTATCACATGGCCCAAATAATAACATCTTAAAATAACATAATGTTATAAAATGACATTAAAATGGAATGAAAAATCAAAGTGATACATGAATGACCACATTTTTTTAACATGATCTTTAGCACTTTGGTAAAGATCAGAGTGGTCCTCATGTGCCCCATTCTCTTTCTGCTTACCCTATTGTCAAGCCAGGAAGATTAAAAAAAAAAACGATTAAAAAAGATTAAAAAATGATTAAATGATTTAAAAATATCTAACTCTTTAAAAAAAAACAAATAAAATACAATCACAATTAAGACCAGAATTTCTTTTGTTAAACAAGATGATTGTTACAAACTTTTGGCCATGATTGTTAAGCAGATCAATGCAATTATTAAGCTAATCATGAGGCGAATTCAGCTTGTCCCCTTGACTTTGCTTGTGGAAGTCAGCTGGGAAGGTTGCAAATGGAGACATTACAACTGTCATAAATACATGTCAGTTGCCAAGCATCTGAATTTTGATCATGTGACTGCAACACTTGTAAGTCACTTTTTTCATTGTAGTTGTAGCTTTGAATGGTCTCTATATGGGTGGTTATAAATTGAGGACTCTGTATTTAATCAGTGTCTTTAGACTGCAACTTACAGACTTTCAACATAGTAAAAAGCTTCAGGTATAGATGTTCAGCCGAGCTTGCAACCTAAATAGACCTCTGTCTCAGGACGACGATGTATAAACTTCACAATCTTACAGTATAAACATAATCAAATTCTGTAAACTAGATTCTCTTCTATAAAATGACAGTTAAGCACTTATGGGCGTTGTATCTTTTGGAACAGGAATCAAATGCTTGCTGCAAATCTTTGGCATACATCAAGCTTGCAACCATCTGCTGAGGGTGGCAAAATGCCTTCCCACAATATGGTGTACCAGTTTAAACTAGGTTCAGGTGCCAACCACAAATGAGTTCCATTCTCTGACAGGAGATCATGGTGGGAGAAACAGCATAGTTGTAGAATGTGTGCTTCATTAAACTGATTAACACACTTGGCATCTGTGTATCTTTGGAGTCATAATTGGCACTTTTTTGTTGCTTTACTTTTTCAAAGATTAAGATGCGAAAGCTACATTTATTGTTTTTGAGTGCTGCAACCTAAATCTTGGGTTTTTATAGAATATCAGGATCAATGTATTGTCATTATCTTCCTTGCTTACTTATTAAGATGGTGGTAAGTGAAGATAGATCAGGTGGGTTTGCTTAGGAAGACAATTCAGAAGTTAGAAATCCATTCCGCAGAAGTAGCCAAGTCAGGAACTGTGGCTGTTTTTAAAAGAAATTTTAAAACAAGCCAACATGTTGTCTACTTGGGTTGAAAATATTAAGTACATAACAAGAGAACCATGTCCTTTAGACATCTGTAATAGTACATTTAGTTTACAAAACAAAGAAAACATTTTTATTCGAGTCCTTTTAAATTAATAAAAAGGTAAAAATAAAACAAAGATGTAATAAAAATGCATACACGCTCTCAAAGAAAAGAAAAAACACATTGAAAGTACTTTTTAAAACATGTGAAAATTGAAAAATATACAAAGAAAAAACATTTTAATGGTAAATAATTACAACTCTATATATTGTTATACTTTGCCATCATAACTACCCATGTTAATTCTCTAAAGATCTGTATAGAATGTCAGTTTTTTCTCTTTTGTCTTGTCTTTTAAAATTGATAGATAAAGAAGGATCCCAGTTCTCCATCAGTTGGGTTTTGTTGAGTGTTCTCCTTGGCACCATGGCAATGCTGTGCAAAGAACAAGGAGTTACAATACTGGTAATTTTAACATTTCTTGGCAACTCAATTCAGTTGTAACTACAATGTTGTACACAAAGACACATTTCCTGTGTTTCAATATTACTCAGGATTTCTTACAATTTCAGCAACTTTCTTTTGTTATGAACATTTTCAAAAGGTGCATTGCTGCTTCCCCTTATTTATTATTATCCTTGCTGTCGTGAATCACCAGACACTGTACTATACCACAATTCGATTTAATCATGGTTTGGCTATATTGATAAAGATTTGGGTTTTCTGGAAAATCCTGGACATTTTCCTGTGCGTATTAATATGATTCCAATAGTGCATTCATTTCATGATCTGTAGCTCGCAGAAATATTTGAGTTACATGATTTGAAGTGAAAAAAAATAATTTAAGCCTATTTTATGAGACTTGAGCAGTGCATATCAAAAAATGTAAAAGCTTTGATATATGAAGAAAAATGTTTTTCTTAGGATGTTGAACAGTAAGTTATAAAACATCATATAGCCTAGAAAGTACCAAACTTGCATTGTGGGAAATATATCTCTATACCTATAACTCTATTATCATATTAGTATGCTATGATATAAACAATGATTTATAAGTCACAAATGACTGGATTCGTCTATCAGTTGTGTGTGTGTGTGTGTGTGTGTGTATTAGTCTTTCATTATTGATGCCGGTATTTTCCAATAACACCAGCATCAATTTCCAGATTGATCCAGAATTCAGAATCAGCAATTACTCGGTAATCCAAAGCGTTCACAAGAATTATGGATTTATTGTATATTTTAATTAATTTAAAATAGCAACTCTGTGCAGCTAAGATAGAGTTAAAAACACACAATATAAAATAACAATATAATAAATAATAATGGCATTTTAGCACAACCTCAATCAACAGTAAATCAGCATCACCTCAGGATTCAACTAACCTCCTCACCCCCATTACTAAATAATGATTTACTAATGATGAAGCTATAGACTTTTGAAGAGAGGGAGGGCTTTTTGTGTGAGCGCAGTCAGATCTTTTATATTATCTACAGATTTGGGAAATAGTCATTTTTTTATCCAAATTTAGATTAAACTAGGATCAAACTTTTTTACTAACTGATTGAAATAAACCACACTTACATAAAACTAGAGTTTCCTCCAAAGTAAAATTAAAAAAAAAAAATTATGTTTGGAATGTGTTCAATTCCTCAAGACAAATGTATAAGATGGTTTTCCTGCAAAATAGGAAATATTTTCATATATGCAGCAGAGCTCAGAGTTTTTATGGTGATAAATAGAGTTTAAGTGAATTATCAGATACGTTACGAGCCCTTAATACTGGATAAAAGAGATTCTTCCTGAATATCAATTTCTATTTGCTACACAAGTTGTGGATTTTTATTTACCACTTCCCCTTTATGTTCAACATCTCATATAACTAAGACTACAGTTCTCTCCTTTGTCATCTGAAAGTAAGTCCCTCTAAACTCAACAGGACATCACACAAACACAAAAATAATTTAAATAATATAACTATGTTCTTTAATATACATACCTTCTTTCTCTCTTTCTTACTTTGTTCTCTGTATTTTTTAGGGTTTAAATGCTCTGTTTGATGTTGTCGTGGTCAACAGGCTCAATATTTTGGAAGTTGTTTTGAAGATACTTCATAAGGACAAGTCAGTAGAGGTAAGTCCTGTTAGATTGTTAGATTGAATAAGATATTGTGTGAGATACAGGTAGTCCTTGAGTTATGACTGTAATGGAGCCTGCCCATTAGGGTTAGAAGTCTGGACAATGTTAAATGAACTGCCTCAAGTAATGACCAGCCATCCCTACTTTCCCCTGTGCATTTGTTAAACGAATGCACTGGTTGTTAAGTGGAGCTCAGGGGTGGGGGAGATCCTGGGAAGCTTAGTGCAGGCACAAGCCCACACTTCCCAGCCCTTGTTGGCTTGCATACCAACACACAGCTGATTGTCTTGCCAGCGAGAAACAATGGGGAAGGAAAAAGTTGGACGCACCTGCCTTTCTGTAGGAGATTACCCGGCTGAGCCCAAGGGAGGAGCCAAGCACGTCATCAATTTCAAGCCCCTTTGTGCCCACAAGTGATCTAAGTCTAGCCCATCTTGAATTCCATTGACCCCCATCTACATGTATTTGCATTTGCTCTGATCGTTAGTAGTTCAGATTCTGGTAAAGAGTATTAGCATGCAATAAACTTGTATTTATTTGAACCGGCTTGCTTCATGGTTACTCTCTCTTGACACTTTCCTCCTGCCAAGGTGCCCTGCCTTTCTGGGGCAAAAAAGGACCAGTTCCCTAGCCTTTCAAAGCTTTTTGCGCTCATCAGCTGGCTGCCCATCAGCTGGCCGTAAGTCTTGTCCCCCAGCGAGTTGTCCTGTAGTGAGTTGGCCATGATGAGTTGGCTGTGGCAGGTTGTCATAGGTCCCTTTTATGCAGGGTCTGGCTTTTACAGGACAACTTTGCAGCCCAGGATAAAAGGGGTCCATGACAATTTGCTACAGCCAACTCACCATGGCCAACTTGCTGTGGCCAACTTGCTGTGGCCATCTCGCTGCAGGACAAGTGTTACACTAATATCAAAGAAATGGTGGAATAGAATAAATAAAGGATGCAGAAGGAGGGACAAAATGAAATGTGAATGACACAAATTAAAATAGTTTTTATTTATTTTAAATAATTAAATTGAATTGTTAAATTATCCCACAGCAAGTTGTCCCACAGTGAGTTGGCTGTGGTGAGTTGGCTACGGCGAGTTGGCCGCAGCGAGTTGGCTGCGCCAAGTTGTCCCATTCCAGCATAAAATGCAGCAGATTCAGGATGAGCTTCCCAAAACCTTTGTCTTGCTTAAATCCCTCCCTCCCCCAGAAAGCCACATTTCTTCAATAAACAAAAACAAAAGGTAGAAGGGACAGGTTTGTTGATTCCCCCGCCCAAAATTAGATGCTAAAACTAAACTTTGTGACTCTGCTTTCCACTCTCCATCCCTTTTAAAAACCTTATCTTGACTCAGGCTAAAGAAGAACCCTTCATTTCCGAAAGTTAGCTGACTAGAAATTTGTGCAACAAAATGGAGGACGCTGGATCTTTGCAAGCTTTAGCTGTCTGTCTAACTCAATGGTTCTCAACCTTTTTAATGCCGTGACCCCCCAACCAGTCGTAAGTCGAGGACTACTCAACTGGTCGTAAGTCGAGGACTACTCAACTGGTGCAGCACCGTTTGCAGAATGGGATTTTTGGCGGGCTCAGCAGGGCAGAGACAACCTGGACAATTCCTATTGGCTTTTGAAAGCCAATAGAATTAGACTCTATTCAAGAGTGTCTATTCTATTGGCTTTCAAAAGTCAATAGAATAAAAAGGAGTAGCACAGCTAAGGAAAAGGGGGGGGGGAAATGGCGGACTGTGTTGTTTGGCGACCTCCGTGAAATGGTCATTCGACCCCAAATGGGGTCCCGACCCACAGGTTGAGAACCATTGGTCTAACTGTCTGTAGAGTCCAGCTAGGACTTCAAGGCTAGACCAGGGATAGGCAACTTTGGCTCTTTTATGACTCGTGGACTTCAACTCCCAGAATTCCTGAGCCAGCTATGAAGTCCACGAGTCATAAAAGAGCCAAGGTTGCCTATCCCTGGGCTAGACCGTAGACTACTCTCTACAAGAGGCATGAGAGAATCAGGCTGGAGCGCTTCAGGGTCCTGTCAAGGTAGGATGGGGGGAAGAGAGAGAGGGTGCTGCAGCTGCAGCATCCCCCTGGTCTATCGTAAGGTGAATGACCGCAGGACCCTGCAGCTGTCATAATTTTGAAGCAGAGTCCTATGTAGTTTTTGGGTGTAACTTTGAACCATCATTAGTGGCCTGTCATTTCTCAAGGAATACCTATACATCTTTTCATATAATCATTTAACATGTTTAAATGTTAGCATTAAATGTTATAACATTAACATCCTTAGAGCAATGTGACAAACTGCTCTCGAATTTAATAAATGAAAATACTGGAATCAAATACTATTTAGAACAGTTCCTTCAAAAAAAGAATATTTCTCTAAATAATTAATGGGCTACCTTTATATTGCATAATATTCTTTGATCATGACTGAATGCTGCTAAAACTATAGGTAGTCCTTGACTTGCAACAATTCATTTAGTGACTGTTTAAAGTTATAACAGCACTAACTTAACAACTGCAATGATTCACTGAACAACTGTGGCAAGAAAGGTCGTAAAATGGGGCAAAATTTACTTAACAAATGTCTCACTTAGCGACAGAAATTTGGAGCTCAGTTGTAGTAGTCGAGGACTGCCTGTACTTGATCATATTGATTAAGTGGCGTCTTGCCAGAATACTATAATTATATCCTTTCAGAGTCTCTCTTTCTCTTGAGCTCAACCTAAATTTTCTATGTCAAAACAATAATTAGTGCCTTATTGTTTCAGTTTAATTGTAGTTACATCATGCTATAAGTGACAGAACAGTTCATCTTTTCTTCAAGATTGTGGATTAATTAGGATAGTTTTTACAACCTGAAATACAGAATTCTGTCATAAGAAGGTATTCAGACGCTTTATGGCAATACTGTACTTCATGCTTCAAAAAGACATCATGTTAAAACTAGGCTATCACAAAATCCGTTCAGTTAAATAAATCTCTTGCTTATTCTAGCCTTGCTTTCAGCACATTGTTTCCATTTATTTCAGTGGAATTCGCCTCCAAATAAAATGATAGTTGGAAGCAGAATGTTAAATTTAGGAATAGAATACATATACCAACACCCCCCAAAATAGATTTCTTTGGATCTTTCATTATAGCTGAGAAGTTCTTGCAAGGATTAATATTATACATACCTGTTTAGTTAGGCATCACATATAATACAAGAAGCATGGTTTTCCATAAATGTGCACATAGATTAGATATAAAGATTTTGAACTGAAATCCAAAACTTCTGGAAAGCAACAGTAGAGGAAGACAGCATAGGAGAGATTTCTCTGTGAAAATTACTCTGATTGCCCCTGTGGAAGTCATCAAATAGGTTTGTTTGTTTTCATCAAATTTCTACATTGCCATCTCACTTAAGTGACTTGTATTCTCACCAAGAGATCTGACAGCACTGCATATTTTATTTTACCTCACACTTCAATCATATTGTATGACCAATAAGGGGGGAAGTTTAATAAACAGTAAAAAAATTAAAGATTATATATGGCTGAATGTTTTTAAAAAGCACCAAATTAAGTATCATATCAAAGCTTTAATGTGACATCTGTCCACAGCTTTTGAAACCTGACTGTTACTGTAATATTGGCTTTCTTCCTTGTTTAATTTGTTGTTTTCTCAGTTATCAAACACAGTGAATAATAGTATCTGATAACTGCTAGATATCATAAAGGATTGCATGTCATCTAACAAATTCAAAATATCATAGAATGTCTACTATTAATGTCAAATACTAAACACCATTGATATTCTCTGTCAAATAAAATAAAAAATATCATTCCAGGCTACTATTGAATTCTGTTACATGACAGCTATAAGTATTTTAAATATATATCAAAGTTTAAAAATATTTTTTTTCAAATTATGAACAGTTAAAGCAATGGCAATACTATATAGGTTTGTATACATTCACATTGACATATCTGAAATAAGTGTATTATACATGTAGAAAGTAACATTAAATAATTTAAAAAAAGCTTAGCAAGCTAACAAATAATATTTCCACCAAATTTCCTTCCAAAAGACTTCTCTGTTGATTTCAATAAAAGTAGAATCTTTTATTCTGTTATTAAGCTTGAGAGATAGATAAGCATTGAAATTTATAGAATTATTTCTTAATATTTCCTATTCTGGTGCAGTACTATAAAACAATGCTTGTTTTTAATGACATTTTATACTACCCAACTATCAAGCCAGTGCATAAATGTACAGATCAATAAAATCAAATGACACCAACATAATTCAACCAGCAGTAACACCTACATGGATGTTTCTACAATGAGGAATTGCATTTCAATATCTTTTATGGCAAAATACTGTATATAATGATAGATGCCTCCCACACTTTGTTATTCTTATACAGCTATGGAATTTAATTTGGGCCATGATTTAAACCATCTAACTAGCTTTCTGGGAAGCCTTTAAACCATGATTTGTCCAAAAACCTTGGGGTTCCCCTGGGGAGCGTGCAAGATGTTCAGATGGTTGTTATTTTCCCGCAATCTTGGTTATTTTAATGGCTGTTACAATTATTTTTAATGAGAGCCAGTTAACTTTTCTCATTCCTATCCAGTCTGTGCATACCTATCTGCTCTGTTTCTATTTTTAAGAGTAAAAAACAGTTAATAATTTAGATTTCTTTTTTTAAATAATTATTTCCCTTTTCTTCATAGAACCTGGTGGTGTTTAGAAAAGGACTTCTTTTCAGAATGACTCTTTTGTTATCTGGAGGAGCCACTATTCTATATGCCCGCTGGCAAATTATGGGCACAGGGCCTCCAGCATTTACAGAAGTGGATAATCCAGCTTCATTTGCAACCAGTCCTTTTGTAAGGGTAAGCTGGAAAAAATGGGGGTTTTGCCAACATTAATGATTATTCAAAAGATCAGACAGTAGCACAGGGCAGTAACACAGTGAATGTACTGTGTAAATTGAGTTCCCAATTGAGTTCACTTCCAACTATGCCAATAATAATTTAGGAAAAAAAATGTCTACCGGGGTCTTGGAAATAGTTGTTGATCAAAATAGACAGTATGAAGCTGGGTTGGACCAGGATCTGTAGTTGTATAAGTTCATATCAGGGCCAGCGGGGAGGAGGGGTTGGAATCAAAGAAATGAAAACAGAAGTGACCTCCCCCAGATTGAAGGAGTGTCCCTTTTAATAACATATACACAAGAGGCTTGGCTCCAATTGTGTGGTCATAACAGCCGTCTTGAATTTTAAACTTTTCATGGGGGCCTTTGATTTATACATACATACATTATTTCCTAACCTTCCAAGGAACTGTAATCATCTTGACCTGCAAGGTGATTCTGATCACATCAAGATAACATTATTTTACTTACATTTCTCTAACTTGGTTGAGTCTTATGAAATCTGTTTGGTTTGATTCAGTTTAAATAGCAGAAGATGTTTCCTTGAAATTCAGATTCATTTGTGAAATGTTGATTGACCTCCCTGTTTTTGATATTCCCACAACCTCATATACACACACGCACACACATATTTTCCCTTTCATTGACAGGCTGTAAATTATAATTACTACTATTCTCTGAATGCTTGGCTGCTGCTGTGTCCCTGGTGGCTGTGTTTTGATTGGTCAATGGGCTGCGTGCCCCTTATTAAATCAGTCAGTGACCGGAGAATAATTGCCCTGGTGCTTCTTTGGCTGTGCCTGATTGTGCTGGCGTGCCAAGCTATGGGTTCGAAAGATGGCCAGAAGAGAAGGTAAATGCCGGTCAACATGTTAAGGTTCTCCTAAGTTGGTAAGACATTACTGCATGACATATAGCGCCACTCTTCTTTGTGGAATTAGTGGAATCAATATTCTTTAGCAAATGCAGCGCCAATAAATATTTATAGCAGCAACCTCCTAATTGGGGCCCATCTTTATTTCCACTGGCCATGGGAAGAAAACCTGAAGGGGAAAGTGATGCCTTATCTTCCTTGTGAGAGGACATTTTGAGCTCCTTAACTCTGTAGGAAGTAAAAAAATAATTTGTGCTCAGAATAACGTATAATTGATCTGTGATGTTTTTCAACACTGTTCCTCTGGCAAAACAAAAAATAAGAGACTAAAAAAATAATTATTGATATTGGCTATTCATATTGGCTGTGTTAGTTTTAAATGGAATTTTGCCCCAGGATGATTACTCTTTTGTTGGTGAACAGATCCAGGGAAAATAATGGAAAAACATACTGTCATTTTAAACAAGTGAAAGTTATTTGACAGAATTGAATTGTTAAATGATTTCTGTAAAAGTATTAAGGTACACTTCTGTGTTGATTAGATAATCAATAATTATTCTCTCATTTGCACTTGTTTTAATTGACAAAAGGGACTGGGCTTCAGATTAGACATTTTCTGTGAGCACTTGCTTTGTTTCAGATTGCAATTTTTAAAACAAGAATGATTTTAAAAATAATAATCTTACGTGCATCACAGTGCTTGAATGGTTCATTGCACATCATGTATAGTTCCAAACAAACTTGCAAGGAAGGGTTGTCCTAATAATGCAAAGGAAAGGAAAGTGGGGGAATTTTTTGGGAAGAAATTGAAAATTTTCCCTCTGTGATTTTTTTTGAGATTATTTATGTTATACTGTAAGCCCCATTGGAAGCCAGTCACCCTGTCCCAAAACTTCCACTACTCCAACCCACATTGTTTAAGAAGGACCTGTTTCTACAGAAGGTTTTTCAATAGACAATTGAAAAGATCAGGAGACCAAAGAATAAATATGTAGTTTATTTATCTTAACACCCATCTATCCCTCCACATACATGCACACTTTCTGTTCTGCAGATTTTTTTTACTACAGACATCTTAGATATTTTTCTTTACTGTATTATGTTTGGATACTTACATTTTTCTTGTTACTGATATTTTTCTAAGCCATTAAAATGTATTTTGTTCCAGATATGCAGCATAGGAAATATCTAGGACTAGTCTTTAATATCCCCGAAACATTAAACAGAAATAACTGTATTTAGGCAGTTGCTGTTGTGTCTTGTTACCTGAAATCCTACGCATTGATATGGTGGGGAAAAAAACCAAAACAGGAAGCCATGGTCCATGATTTAAAAAAAAAAAATAAAGCAAAATATCTTGTAATAAACCTGAGAAACTCATAGTTAAATCGCAGTCATCCTGTAGAGCTCTTCTACAGAGGTAACAATTTCTTCAAAATAAAGAGAATAGTTTCAATCTTCATCTTGCCTAGTTAGAATTATTAGATTGAATCATTTCTTTCAAATGGTTTGTAATCCTTTAATACTGGAAGTTAAGGACCATGCTGAGAAGCCTATGTGATTTTCCCCCATGATGACTCTTTCTGGGGAATGGAAACTTAGACAAATGGCAATATGCGTTTTAATTTCTTGTATCATAATATTGTAGTGAGAGTTTTATTACATGTTGTTAAAATATTTTTTTTCTCTGCATTTCAGAATCCTTACCTTGGGATTGGGATTTCTCATCCTTCCTTTTCTTCCTGCAAGTAACCTATTTTTTAGAGTTGGGTTTGTTATTGCCGAGAGAGTCACCTATCTCCCCAGTATTGGTTACTGCATATTGATTACATACGGATTTTGTCTGTTGTGTAAACAAGCTAACAAAAAGGTACAAACAACATTATCCTAACGGTTGACAAAATGGAAAAGAGATTTAAAAGCTGAGGTTTTTAATGTGTGTCTTCTTTCTCAAGAAATTGTTGGTTGCTGCTCTGCTGGGTCTCTTATTGATAAATGTGTGGCGTTCCATCATCCGTAGTAACCAATGGAGATCGGAGGAGCAGCTTTTTAGAAGTGCTTTGTCTGTTTGTCCACTGAATGCCAAAGTAAGCTTCTGCATTTTCTAAAAATAATAATTCTATTGTTCTATTATTGTAAATAATTATCATTTCTGGTATTTACCTTCTTGCAAAAACCTTGGGATTATTCTCTATTATATCAGCAGTTTTAATAATCAAAACATTTAGTGAAGGTATTTATTCCTAATGATTTGTCTTAGTTCAATTGTTTTCTGTATACATTTTATTACTTCATCTCCTAATAGGAAGAAAAATCCTATACATTCTATAAAACATCCAAGGTCACATTAAAACCGTTTTTAAAATAAGTAGTGAACAATGCTTCAAGTCCTGTTTAGTGATACAGTTGCTGTGTTAGTGATAGCTAATAAGAATAATATCATATTTCCTGAATAGGAAAACAAGAACCTCTTCATTGTGTGTTTAGCGACGATGTCACACCCAATTTTATTGATTGGATATAGGCACACTCATTAGCACAGTCTCGATTTCTGAAATGCCATGGGCATCGTGCCTGAATTAAAGCTTTGCCTTCAAGCCTTAAATTATTTTTGCTTCTCCATCACTAGAATTAATTTGAGTATTGTTGATGTCTGAGTTAGGTAAAAAAAACTCCGAAGATTACATGATCTTTTGTGATGCAGTGGTTTGTGGCACACAGTCACCAGCTGCAAAGCATTTTTGAAGAATAATAAATCCAGTGAACATGTGGCTTTGGGGCATACATATCCCTTGTCATGTAGACCAACAACTTCAAATGCTGTTTTATACATTTTTCGATCTGAATGTTCTATTCATTGGAAGGATCTGTGAATAAATTATGCTGTTTTATTTCTAAGCTTAACAATTCCTAAACTAATATCTTTAGGAGTGAAATGGTTTATTTATTTACTTAGGAGCACAAAATGGTAGCAAATAATTCAGAATTTGTGTTATTTGTGCAGAGGTGCTTCTTCAAAAATTGGATTAATCCCTGATTTTCTGCATTATTAAGTACAACTGGATGTTGTTAATAAAGCTGTTAATAATATATTGTATTCACTGGGCACAAATGTTATATGATCTTCATCCTCCTCTCATTACAGTTGCTTATGTCTAAAATGTGAGCAATGGAACTTTTACTTTTCTATCTTAAGTTTTCCTCTAGAATATGTCAAAAGGCAGGTTAATGAGAGAATCTGGAATATAAGTTTCAATATGAACAAAATGTAATATTGTAAATCAATTCAAAATAGGAAAAAAGTCAGTTCTATAAAGAACTTAGATTGTCACATCCAACAATAGATTTTCCCCTTAGTGTTCTGTAGAGATATGGGCATATAGAAGTAATTACAATACATTTTTATAGTATCTGGCATTATGTTTTAATATTTCATGAAACAGGGGACCCATTTTCATTTTAATTTGGAGTACAGTTCCCACCAAGACAAAATGTGAAAATATATAGACTGTATAATCATATTCTAACACACAGCTGAACTTAGTCTTTTGTTGCAGAAAGCAAACCATTCTAATCACAAAACTTAAATACGTAGCTCCTGATTTTGTTTTCTTAATTACAAGGTTGTAATTCTTAGATTTAATTTTGAAACCATAATATTTATTTGAGATTGACTACATGAAAAAGTACAATTATAGAGCAAATTGAAAATATAGTAAATTTAAATCTGACATAAGCATTCCAGCCAATTGTCAGTATCGGCATCAGTTTGATTTTCATTTGGGAATTACTTGACTTAGATGTGTAATTAAAACGCAATCTTAATAGTCACTTTCTGAATAGCATTTCCATTATAAAAGAAAAGTTTCCATACCCAAACCAATTAACCATTGAGAATTTTTTTTCATTCTCCAACAAATTGCAGCATGGATATCTGATAGAAAAATACCTTTGAGCTTTCAAACAAGCTAGAACGCTGCAGCACCTTAACTAGCTTGGAAACTAGGATGCATACAGTTGTAGCATTTCTCCTGGAGTTGTCCACCAGATGTTCATGAAGGTTTTGATAAGGATATGGTCATTGAAAGTGGTGGTGGGTGAAAATAAGCTCTGGGTCTTATTAAGTGTTCCTGATATATGGCTGGTGACCAGAGCTTCTACACCAGTGGTTCTCAACCTTTTTAATGCCGCGACCACCAACCGGTCGTAAGTTGAGGACTACCCAACTGGTCGTAAGTCGAGGACTACCCAATCGGTCGTAAGCCAAGGACTTTCCCTGCCGGGAGAGCTGCACATGCGTGGTGCCACCCCCTGCGCCGGCCGAGGCGTAGCTGGCAAGCGGCAGAGATGGCGCAGGCCGACCACCGGCTGGGCCACCAGCTGGCCCAGCCCAAGGGAGGTAAGGCACCCGCCAGCCTCCCACCCCTGGCCCTCTTTTACTTACATTTTTAGTAGTTGCTCAGCAGGGAGGGGTGGAAACTTCCAGACAGCTCGCCTTCGCTGCAGACAACTTGCAGCACCGTTTACAGAATGGGACTTTTGGTGGGCTCAGCAGGGCAGAGACAGCCTGGGCAATTCCTATTGGCTTTTGAAAGCCAATAGAATTAGACTCTATTCAAGAGAGTCTATTCTATTGGCTTTCAAAAGCCAATAGAATAAAAGGGAGTAGCACAGCTAAGGAAAAGGGGGAAAAAATGCCGGACTGTGTTGTTTGGCGACCCCCGTGAAATGGTCATTCGACCCCAAATGGGGTCCCGACCCACAGGTTGAGAACCACTGCTCTACACTTAAAGCTAAGAGCTCTTTCAATACTCTATTGCTTTTTTTTCTCCTAGCTGTTGTTTTATCATGGATAATTACATCCGCCTCTTGCATAATAATCTGGTTTTTTTGGATAGGCATACCAAGTATCATGTTAAAATACAAGAATAAAAAATACACATTTATTAAAATTGTTATAATTGTCCAAATCAAATTTCTGTTAACCAAAAGTCATATGCATTGAAATAATGTCACTGGCTAGAATGATATAGTTCTGACCTTTACTTTCAGGTCCATTATAATGTTGGCAAAAACTTAGCTGATAATGGCAATCAAAGTGCTGCAATCAGCTACTACAGAGAGGCTGTAAGGTATGGATGATTTGGAGTGCTTTTTTTAAAAAAAAATGTTGGTTTGGTTAAAAAAAGCAGAAAGCAGATATAGGGTAAGAACCTGACCATTCAGAAAGATCGTCAGCAGTGATAACAGAATATTGTACAGAATACAGAATAAAACATTAATTTAAGGAAATACGTTCTAAGCCAGTGGTGGCGAACCTATGGCACGGGTGCCATGTGGCACACAGAGCCCTCTCTGTGGGCATGCACGCCATCACCCCAGTCCTAGGCCTTCAGCTGGGTTTTATAAAACCTTTTCGCTTTAGGCCTCTGCCGCCATGTACAAAAAAAAAAGGTTCAATCAATCAGTCAATTTCAACTTCTCGCGGGGAAAAAAAAAGATCTTGCAAAGTTGGAATTGATTGACTGAACTTTTTAGTCCCACCCAGTCTGCTGTTACCACTGCAGCCATGCCCACCCAATGGGCCACATCCACCCAGCACCCGACGATGCATAAGTGGGTTTTGGGTTGCAGTTTGGGCACTCGGTCTCTAAAAGGTTCGCCATCACTGTTCTAAGCCATGTTTGTTTTAACTATATGTTCTTGAATGAACTGTTCTGGTTTAGTACGTACTTAAGGTTAAACAATATACCATGTTACAGTGGCTGGGATTTTATAGTGCACTAAGGTAAATCAAGTTTAATAAAATAAAAGGGGCTTAGCAGAATTTGGAAACTAACCCAGTGATTTAAAAATATTGGTGATGTGGCCCAGGAAAAATACTTTATAAACATCAACTGTATTAACTAGATAAAGTTACATATCTGTAAAATTTGAAGACAGATTTGGACATTAACACCACATTTTATTACTCATCCTCAAATAATGAGGATGTTTAGTTCCAGACTTTAATTAACGGCAAAGCTATGCTTTCTGTTATTGTCCTTAGGACAGGTAGTCCTTGACGTACGGCCACAATTGGGGCCAGAATTTCTGTCGCTAAGCAAGGTACCTGCTAAATCAGTCAGGTCTGATTTTACAACCTTCTTTATCACGGATGTTAGGTGAATTGTTGCAGTTGTTAAGCGAATCAGGCTTCCCTCCATTGAAGCTAGTAGGGAAGGTTGCAAATGGGACTCAACAACCATCATCAATGATTGTCAAGCTCTTAAATTTTGATCACGTGATCATGGAGATGCTGAGATGGTCATAAGTACAATGACCAGTTTGTAACCTTAAAGGCTGCTAAACGAATGGTTGTAAGTCGGGGACTACCTATACAACCATTAGCGAGCAATAAAGCATTGCTGAGATCAAAGCCAGGCTATACAAAAATGCATGTAAACAGAAACCGTTGCTTTTGAAGTTTATTTGGGTGGCTTTTCCTTTCTCTCTATCTTGTTTCGTTTTGATTTGGGGTGCGGGTGTTCAGTAGTCAGAAGTTGAGGGCAATTTAATACATGCTTGAGAGTGACGACATCTTCAATTGATATAAAAATGACAAGTGGAAGAGAAGAATTGTGGCTGTGTAGACAAATAAAATTAGGAGAGCTGGCTCCTTTGACTAAGTAATTATTTTATTTGTTTTTGTCTTTTCAACCCCAGATTGAATCCTAAATACGTTCACGCCATGAACAACTTGGGAAATATCTTGAAAGAAAAAAATGAACTTCATGAAGCTGAAGAACTTCTCTCACTAGCTGTTCAAATACAGTATGTTTTAAACATCAAAATCTAGCTGTGGGTCATCAACATATTGTTGTATTACGAATGAAAGCAAATATTGTGGAATTATCTGGATCTTTTCTTAGTTAATTTTCTGAAATATACTCTGTGATGCAGTTATGTGTAAAGTGTTTCATTAGAGGAACCTCTAGAACATTCTTCCTCCAGATTACACAAAGCTGTCTTTTTCAGGCTGTTTTTCATAAATTGTTATGCTGTGGCCTAGACCCAAAAAGTATGGTCAAGATAAGAAAAGTTTCCAGAATTTCTCAAAACTTTTCTTGCTTGGAATGAAGTACTTTGCCTGCCTCTAGAATAAATTTGGTCTTAAAGGGTGTGCAAATAGTGCAGCTACTACAAAATGGAGTTATATTATTTCTTGTCGTATACTTTGGGGACCAGTGCCATTGGCCAATAGTTTGCTTCTTTGGCATAAGTAGGAGTTAGACTGAAGATACCTGAAGGACAATCCCTTCCTTATTCAAATGCCCTTCTTTAGATTCCACCAACAAGAGAAGTTAGGGTAATTCAAACATAGAACAAGTATTTTCTGCACTTAATCTTAATCAAAAGTCCGAGAAGCAATGAGAACAAATGAGAGTAGTTTCTGGATTATAGAACATGTTTCCCTTCTCTTTAGTTGTAGGGAAAATCTATTCAGCCTGGCTTTAAGTGCATTATCTCTATTTTTTGTATTTAAATTATTCTCCCCTCCCCCTTGTCCTTAATGTACTATGTTATTACATTATTGTTTGTTTTTTAAAAAACCTTAAATTGCTTTACAGTTTTAAATTCAGATTGCATTTTTAATTTTATAAATAAGTAAGGGACATCAAAGCTGTCATGTACTTAATATGCTAAAATGTTCACAACTCTCTTTGCCTAGGCCTGATTTTGCAGCAGCATGGATGAATTTAGGGATAGTGCAGAATAGCTTAAGAAGGTATGAAGAAGCAGAGAAAAGCTACTGGACTGCAATTAGACACAGGAAAAAATACCCAGATTGTTACTATAATCTAGGACGCTTAGTAAGTGTACTTATTTATCTTTCTGCTAATGATCCTAGATCAGCCTTTCTCAACCTTAGCAACTTTAAGTTGTCTGGTCGTCAACTCCCAGAATTCCCCAGTAAGCAACACCTGGGAGTTGAAGTCCACACACCTTAAAGTTGCCAAGGTCAAGAAACTCTGTCCTAGATACGTAAGATGCGGTGAGTTTTGAATGTTGATCAGTTGCTTATTAGAGAGTATCTTCTTGGACTTTGGATTTGTTTAGGAAGATTCTTTAGGGTCTTCCACACAATGAAGTTGCAGTCTTACTTTTAATAGAAGTGAATTATAAATTAGGATTGCATCAGAATGAATGTAAACCAAACCTCACTTTGTAACTTCTGGTTTCCCAGAAATGCTCTTATGGAGGAACTAAATGTTTCTTGTACTATATATACAAGAATATACAATGTGTAAAACTATATAATAAAGTGGTGAAAATTAGCAGCACACTATTCCTATTTCAGGGGTACCCAACCCCTGGTAAATAGACCAGCACCAGTCAGTGGCATGCCAGAAACCGATCCGTGCAAACAAGCGAAGCCCCATCTGCGGGATGTGAAACCATGCCCATTCTGGTCCACAGAAAAACCTCTCTCCACAAAACCAGTCCCTGGTACCCAAAGGATTGGGGGCTGCTGTCCTATATAATTACTATAGTACAGGTAGTCCTCGACTTACAACAGTTCATTTAGTGACCGTTCAAAGTTACAACAACATTGAAAAACATAGACTTATGACCATTTTTCACAGTTACAACATTTGCAGCATCCCCTTGGTCCCATAATTAAAATTCAGATGCTTGGCAACTGGTTCCTATTTATGATGGTTGCAGTATCCTGGAGTCACGTGATCAGCTTTTGTGACCTTCTGACAAGCCAAGTAAATGGGGAAGCCAGATTCACTTAACAACCAGGTTATTAACTTATCAGCTGCAGGGGTTCACTTAACAACTGTGGCAAGAAAGTTGTAAAATGGGGCAAAACCCACGTAACAAATGTCTCACTTGACAACAGAAATTTTGGACTCAATTGTGGTCGTACATCAAAGACTACCTGTGATTGAACAATCTAAAAGTTTAGAGAGAAATGGAGAAAAGGCCTATTAATTGAACAATAGTAGGGATAAATGCTCTTTAACAAAATTAATAATAAATTAGCAGATACACAGATACCACTGCTAATTTTCTCCCAACTGTACTTGGCAGTCTTTGGGGGGGAGGGGTCAATTCTCCCTTTCCTATTAACTCTCACCAAATTGGGGGGGGAAGAGTAATTTTATTTCTTAATATTTTACTATCGTGCAAAATAATCTATGAACAGATTATCTGTCTCCTATTTCCAAACCAACCTTGATATTCCAGACAGTAACTAGATAAATGTAAATAATAGGCAAATTTTGCCTGGCTGTTACTCTTATTCTGGTGGTTTTTCTTTGTGGTTTTGTTTGATTGTTTTGCTTGCTTGTTTGCTTTGTACTCCCAACATGTAAGAGAGATAGAATAAAGAAACTTATATCGGTTGGAAAAGTCAGTTTCTTCAATCAATAAACACCAATCTTCCTTCTAAAATAAAAGAAGCACAGAATGTTGGGCTGTTTGAATGTTACGGCAATACAGCCCTTCTGATTTAAGCATGAGGGATACTTTGGGACATTCTCCATGCTTTTGGAGGATGCAGAAGCACTGACCCGCAATGTGGGCACGACCCTGGAAAAAGATGCAGCTTCTTAAAAGAATTGCATATGGGGGCTGTGTGAGATCCTGTGTGCTCTGAAGCCCCTCTTAATGGTCAAATCGAAAGCAGAACACAGCACCAAGGCATACAGGCTTTTTGTAAGCAGAAGGTCTGTAGACGATGGGGGAAATGTTCAGAAAACCTCTACCCTGTACACAATTATGTGCAGTTCTTAGTGTAAAATTATTTTTCTCACATTTGACCTTTATAAAACACTGTCCTGGAATTATAACTATTCACATTGCAGATGTAGTTGGTATGCAGCGACTCTCCTACAGTGGCACCTGTACAAGAGCTACTTTTCTTAACTTGTTATCTCATGGCCAATTGTGTTACTTTCAGTATGCTGATCTAAATCGCCACATAGATGCACTGAATGCCTGGAGAAACGCCACAGTGCTGAAACCACAACATAGTTTGGCTTGGAACAATATGATTATATTGCTCGACAATACAGGTACAAATATGTTTTTTTTCCCCCAGAGTATTTTTTTTTTCTGAATCTTGTTTAGATCTCCAGCCCATTTTTTCTGCTACATGAAGTGGGGCTCTAGTTCTAAAATAGAAATTAGAATGTCACCAACCCAAGATTTTACAGCTGCTATAAAACGGCATCTCTCACAAACTATACATAAGCTTGCCATTGCAAAATGTTGAACGTGCCAAAAGTGTGTCTTTAGAAATCGGTTTTCCATTTGTATCAATGTCTTGGTTCATGGTGTTCCAAAATACTTTTGTAAATAATGATTCAGTATTTGGTGGGGGGGGGAAATCTCAGAATTAAGCAAGAAATAAATTTATTATTACATTCTAGTATTTGAAATCATAACAGATGTAGAGGTTTCAGGCAACCATCTTTTAAAAAGACTCACAATGTATTATGTCAGTTTTATCTCACAATGGATTGGATCTTTGTATCAAATTAATTGATTAAGAGTCCTAATTTGATTAGCTTTAAAAAAATTCAAAAAAAAAAAAGAAAGGATCATCCTAGTACCTGTCAGTTTACTAATCAACTAGAAAATCTTTCATTCTACTAGTGGTTCCCTCTGTTCTTTTTCTCCAACAGCCTTCAGAAAACTCACAAAACCTTTTATTTCATGTTGGTATTCTTCAGTTTATTTCTGTATTTGATATGAATATTTCTTAATCTGGTTATATTCACATTCTGATCATGAACATGTTTTAAATGCATAGTAGCCAAACATTTATTTCATACTTTCCCTCTAGAAAAAATACTGTGCAAATTTTAATGCCCTGCTCTTCACTTGCAATTCATTTTTTATTATTTGATCTGTTCTTGTTTTCTTTAAGGAAAATAGCTAAGCATCTTATTTTGATTAAAAACAGCTATTCACCCTTGTTCCATCTCGCTCTCTCTCCTTTAATTTGTTCCTAGGGAACTTGGCACAAGCAGAAACTGTTGGAAGGGAAGCTTTGGAGTTAATACCAAATGATCATTCTCTTATGTTTTCACTGGCAAATGTACTGGGGAAATCACAGAAATATAAGGTAAAGCATTTTTCTAACCACAATTTGTAGATAGATAACTCCTACAAATCTTATTTCTCAATGATTCGGAGATTAGGTATGTCCTCATAAATGTGACTCAGTGAAAAAATTGGCAGTGGATTTAATTTGGAAACCAACACACAAAGTATGTATTTTTATGCAGACTTGGGTTGTTTTTTTGTTTTTGTTTTTTCAAAATTACAGGGGAAAGAAATCTTAAGAGAAATTGTGAGTCCTGTCCAAATTGCCTTGCCAGGTTGTGGGATGACATTTCCTAAACAGCTGTTACCAGGCAATTTCATTTATTTATTTTTTTGACCTGACTAAACTGAAGCACTGGGGGGGGTTTTTTGGATTAAGGGGTAGATAGAAATATACAAGCAGGAGTCTCTTCCAGAACAATCCAAAATCCAGATACAAATATGTCTCAGTTATTACGATTAATTATTGTATGCAAAAAGCTCAAACCATAAATATAGAAAAAAACTATTTTGTTCAGCAAATTTTTGAACTTGATGATACTTTTAGATAGCTTATTGTAATAAAAATAGCATCAAGTTCAAAAATAGTTTGAAGTACAGAATAGGTTTTTGTTCCTATTTTAATTATGATAAAAACATTTAAAACAATGTAAGTTGCATGCAGTTACAGTTTTCTTGATCTTACCTATTAAACAATAACTTTCTTTTAACAAAAGGAAATTGGCTTAAATATAGTCTTTAAAGCCTTAAGGATGTCATCCATGAAGGATCTGTAAGCTTTACAGAAATCATTTTGAAAAATGAATCATGAAAACGCTCACTGCTTTTAATTGTTTAGACTAAGGCAGGTTATTTGCAGCCACCGGGGAAAATGGAAAATTAAGAAGAATTTTATGAACAGATATGAAACAAAAGTTTGTTAGAGAAATAATGAAAACTATTTTGCCAAGCTATAAATCCTTTTTAAGTTAGAATTGTTGACTCTCTCTCTTTCTCTCTGTTTGTGTATCTGTCTGTGTGAGAGAGATTTTCCTGTAAAAATACTGTTACAGTTTATCAATGAAGTATGCAAATACACCTCAAATAGAAATACTGTAATGTCTTAGAAGTAATTAAATCCAAAAATTCAGATGATCTCTAGAGAGCAGCAAAAGGCAGGATTTGATACCTGTTTTCTGCAATTTAGAGGTGGTCTGGATTTTTGTAGCCTAGATCTGATAACTTTAGAATACCATCAATTTTCTTGAGACTAAATTTATTTGAATGTGTTGGTTTTAAGAAGTGATTTGTATGAACCTTTGGTTTCTAATGCAGCCCACAAGTGTTTTTGTGTTCTTATCAACACTGAAGTAATTACAGTCTAATTGACAGCAACTACCAACCAACAGCTGGATTGGCCTGTGAATTATATTGTCCGTATCTCCATTAGAGAGAAATGGAAGTGTGAATGCAAGTGAAAAAAATAGGGTGACATAATCACATTAATTGACCATAGAGCATGAGGTAATTGGGAGTGTTTGGTTGCACTTGACATTGTAGGCACTACAAAAATAGCTTGTCCTGTTGATCTCTTTTTCTGAATTATTCAGGAATCTGAAGCTTTGTTCCACAAGGCAATTAAAGCCAATCCAACGGCTGCCAGTTACCATGGCAATTTGGGTAAGACATTTTATAGCTCCCCTGGTGCAAACTTTTTTTAAAAAATTCAGACACTGGTTGAATTTTTTTTCCACATTCAGTGTCTTGCAGGCATTCTTCTGCTAGCTAGATTTCTCATCTGCCTGCTTGCTAAGCAAATTGCCAAAAGATACTGGAGTTCTTAAAACAGGTTTCCAATAGTATCAAGCCGATCACATTGTATGACAGACCAACCAGGCAGGCTGCCTGCTGCAACCCAGAGGTGGTGTATGTCAGTGGTGGCAAATTGAGCTGTGCTTGCAAATCACAATAAGCCCTCCTGATAAAAATAGCCATTTATGGCTCTAGTACAATCTACTCTTGTCATTCCTTGGCCTGTGTAGCTCCAAACATGTCTGCTCCAGCTGGCTACAGAGCAGGCTGCCACTGTGCCGACAGCCAACCAAATGTTTTAATGTTTTCTAAATAATTGGCAAGACTGTCTATTCGTCAACAACGCTGCTAACAAAAAATCCCTTTTGCTGTTTCAGCTGTACTGTACCATCGCTGGGGAAATTTTGACTTAGCCAAGAAACACTATGAAGTCTCTCTGAAGCTTGACCCCACAGCAGCTGGGACCAGGGAAAACTATAGTCTTTTAAAAAAGAAACTGGACCAACTGCAAAAAAAAAAAAGGATGATGTGTGAGGTTTCTTCTCGGGCTTTGAATGCAGATTGCATACACTGATGGGTAATGTGGCTACTGATCACCAGCGAGAGGTGTTGTCACCCAGGACTACAGAACACAACAACATGGGACATTGAGATGTTTCTTGAAATTTAGTGTTAGAATTTCAAAGGGGAAAAAAGACCCTAGTTTAGAACATTTTATTTAGAGAATTAAAAGGGCTTGCTTCTCCTTTTCAGTTTTTTTTTTTTTTTGAACCAGTGATGAAATCGGATGAATATTTATACAGATATCCAGTCATTTGCACTGGTAGAATCCACGTTAAAATAAAGAGTTGGAGATATTCTTCAGCAGAGCATGTGAACGGAAAACTGTTCAGTTCAGAAATGGAAATGGATGGTAACTGAAGATGGGCTCCAGCATGAGTCCAAGAGCTCGGAAGAGTAAATCTCTGCTTCCGGTGACCAACTCAAATTCGATTTTGCATTATTATACTAGGACACGTATATTTGCCTTCATTTGTGGGTGGTAACTGTTCACTTTCAATAGGAATTCCAGTGCAGTACTGGTATAGTCCTTGACTTACAACCACAATTGGGACTGTAATTTTAGTTCCAAAAGAGATGCAGTTATTAAGTGAGACATTGTGTGACTGGATCCCTGTTTCCAACCATTTTACCATGGACACTAAGCAAATTACACAGTTGTTAAGCAAACCTGGCTCCCCCAATTGACTTGGCTTGTGGGAAGCCTGCTGGGAAGTTGCAAATTGTTATTAGGTGATCGCAAGATGATGTAACTATCATCGATGCGAACCAGTTCCCAAGAGCCCAGATTACAATCACATGACTACAGAGGTGGCAGGATGGTTGTAACTGGGGGGAGGGGAGATTGTAAGGAAGTTTTTTTGAGGCTGTCATAACTTTACGCTGTCATTAAACAGACAGTTGTAAGTCAAAGACTATCTGTATGAAATATTACCTTGTGATAAGAACAACACTTTGAGCAGTGAGATTGATTTGTACTTTTATGAAGAGATTATTTGCTTCAATTACATGCAAGGTGAAGTTGCTTTTATCTGGCCAGGCTTTAATTGCTGTCCATGAGTTGTAAATACACCTGCTGAACATGAGATACAGCAGGTCGAGATTTTTCCACTGCAAGAAGTCTTTGAATTCATACTGCTCCTAGGTTCAAGTATTTGCTAAGTTAAAGTCAGTGTTTCACTAGGGTATAAAGAAGGGCTTGCTATTTTGAAGTTGGAAAATTGAGGGTGTCTGGAAGGTTGCATAAAGTATTTAAACACTTAAACTGGGTAATGATCATTACAACTTCAGACAAAGGGGCTTTTTACTCTGGATTTGATATATTAGTATCTGTTTTTGTGGTCCTATGAACAGCTTAAATCCAGACAATTTCTTGATGATTCTTCATTTCTTCTTGGTGAGTATAGAGATTCTAAAAACATACTCTAAGGTCACCTGTTAGTATTATATCTAACTTTGTGTAGTAGCTTAAGGATCAGGAAATAGTGTGTTGTTCCATGTCCATATTTATTCTTGGTGGAGTCTGTATTTTTCTGTGCTGAAGACAAAGAAAAGGATATGCACTGAGCCAGGAAAGTGAAAAAGAAATAAATATGATATGCATGTATTTTATTCTAGGATCTTAGTCCCCGGTTTCAGCTTCTTCTAAAAGTAGGACCACTATAGAGAGAGGAGTTTTAAAGGATTCTTTAGCGTCATGATTTCTGTATTAGGGATTCCACACACTTTATTAAAAAAAAAAATTCAAACAAATAGATTCTATTCAGCCTTGTGCTGTTTTAGCCATCATGGATTTTTTTAGATATTAATATTCCATCAGACAAGATAGTTATAGAGCAGGGTCGCCAATTCCTGGTCCATGGATTGGCACCAGACCACAGCCTATCAGGAACCGGGCCATGCAAGCAAGGGAAGTCCCACCTGCGCACACACAGGATTCAGGCAGCGCATGAAACCATGCCCCCTCCCCCCCCAGTCTGCAGAAAAATCACCCTCCACAGAACTGATTCTTGGCACACGAAAGGTTATAGAGAATATTTTAAATATCTAGAAAGCCCACATGCCATATTCATTTCATTACAGATTCTGGAATAAAGTAAGTGTGCTCCTTATTTATTTTTCATTTTCCATTATTGAAAACAAAGTCAAATGCTGCCTTTCTTCCTGCTTATATATATATATATATATATATATATATATATATATATATATATATATATATATATCCAGATAGTTGTTAACATCAGATTCATGCTCATTCAATAATAAGAGCAATTTTCTGGGAACAGAAACCTCCATATTTTACAAAGCATGTAGCTTGATGCTGTCAATTTTGAAGATAACATGATACTGTAATTTTATTTTTTTCAACTTTAAATATGTTCGGGTTCTCTCGTTTATTCAACATTAAATGAACAGATTCAAGATAGAGATATAACCATTTCTGTAGTACTTGCATATATTAAGCTACAACTGTGTTTATTCAGATTATTTTCCCATTACACTTCAATGTATATGTTTGTGTACAAGTACTAAGGATCTCTTGGTGTTCAAAAGTCTATTGTTTTAATTTTTTTTAAAAAAATAATGATGCAGGTATCAATCTTGTCAGACAAAATATCTGATTGGATAATAGAATTCAGTGTCACCGGTTGTAAAAGCTTTATGATTCTAAAAATCCATTTGGTAATTGAGTTTTTCCTGACCTACATCATTTCAACAAGGCTTCAGTTATAAAAGTTTCTAGATTTTAAAATACTCCTAGCATTTGATAATAATTTGTGGCAAAACTGAATTTGCTTGATCATAAGTAGCACAATTTATTCTGTTATGGGAAGACAGGGGCAAAGAAACACTTTTCAAGATTTTACAGCCACACTGCAAAATGAGAGAGAGAGATTTTATTTCTTACTGGTTCTTTTCCTAGTAGTGCAGTCTTAAGCAAACCCATGTAACCATCACAGATGGTTATTAGAACAGAAACTGTCCCATTTTATCAGCTTTACTAGCTGGACCAGATAGGAATTGCAACCAGATGAGCAAATTCTATTCTGTTATAAAGCTACGTTAATAGAATCTTGCAAGTCTGAAAGCACCATTCGCCTACCATTTTTACAGCCCGAAAAATTAGGGTCTCTTCTGAACGTCTTCCCTGCTCACTATCCAGCTGCGGACGATGCTGTCTCTTATCTGATCATTCTCTAGGCAGCATTTCTTGGCTATTCCTTCCAAGGTCTTTCCCACATACCATTATATATGTAGAGGATCACTTGATTATGAACAATTAAAAGTTGACTTTGGCTATAATATTTATAATAAATAATATAGGATATAAGATCATGCTCTTTAAAACAATAGATCAAGAGAATCCTTCCATAGGCTTCATTATAGAACAATTGTCATGAAAGTTATCCGTTTTCTCTTTTCTCTATGCTGGTTTTCTCCTTTCCCTTTTACTTGTTTCCAACTGTCACTTTCTCTTCTGTAACTTCTTCTCATTCTTTCTGCCTACTTAAATCTAACCCTTTATTTGCTTTAACTGAAGCCAAATTAAGTACTGTATTTATCATATCAATAATAACTGGATATTACTGATAGAATTGGACAACATATTTCCAGTTTGAATAGAAATGGCCTCAACATTCCTTCTTTCAGGGTGGAAGCAGTTGTTTTGAGTTCACACAAGCTCTTCCAACTTTGTTAGAAATTTTCCAAGTTGCATTTGAAGCTCAAAATATTTGACCCCAATTTGAAATACTTTCCTATTTGACAGCCCATGTCAAATTCAGAACAAATATTTCAAAGACAATGTAGGGAGGCTTCAACCTTAAATGTGTTCTAATCTGAGACATTTTGCACAACCCTAATTGCTGATCACTGTATCATTGCTTTGCATTATGTGTTCTGAATTAGAAAATCAAGACATTATAAGGTGAAGTTTATTTTAAATTTATGGGGTTGAAAATTTTTATATTTTACTCTTTGTTTATATTACCAAAACTATAATTTCTTGGTTTTTTTAAAAATTACCAATTAGTTAAATTACTGCCCCAAATCATATAGAATTCTTGTAAATCCTTGCAGAAGTTCCTTGTAAAATTTACATACATAAAAATCTTGAATTCAGCATGGTTGAAATTATAGGTCTTTGGAGGAGCTAATTTCAACAAGCACAATAGGATACAATTGATGTGTTGTGTGAGATGAGGCAATTGGGTTAATCCAAACCATGATTCAGTTAGTCAGCATTTACATGTGACACAACTCAGACCAAGAATAAACCAGCAGGGAGCTGGATCATTAGTTAATTTCCTTTCTAATAGAGTTGTAAACTGCATGTGGCTACAAACATATTGAGTACTCAAAGTGACATTTTTAATGTGTTCTTGTTAGTTTGCGTGTGTACATATGGTTTTTTAGATGAGATGTAAATGATTTTACTTTTGAATATAATTATTAAAACTAATAATTTATTTTGGAGTTATTTGAATAGCATTTTAAAACACTATAAAAGTACATTACACCTCATAAGATTTCTGGGATATGTTAGGGTTAACTCTAGGTTTCCTGAATCTAGTATATCAAGAAAGGCATTCAAATAACTTGTCTAATTCAGAGGTCCCCAACCTTTTGAGCGCCAGGAACCGCTTCCATGGAGAGAGGTTTTTCCACAGACTGGAAGGGCGTGGTTTTGTGTGCTGCCTGCATCCCGCGGATGGGACTTTGCTTGTTTCTGTGGCCCAGTTGCTGGCATGCCGCGCCCCGGTACTGATCCACGGACCAGGGGTTGGGGACCCCTGTCCTAATTCATTCACTAATTGTTCACAGTGTTGGGTACATAAATCCACAGTGGAATATTCATGTGTCATTATTTGCTTCTGGTAATACCCAAGAGTCTTGTGATTGTATTAATTTCCAGTTGTGGTAAAAATTCCAGCAGTTACCTATGAGGAACATACATCTTTCCTACTTGGTCTACAGAAACATCAGCAGAAAGGATTAACAAAAAAAATTAAGATTGTCTCTGCATGGCTGAAGCCCTGTCTTTTTTTGGTTGGGGGTTGCAACACCTATCAAACGCATTAGAGACAGCCCTGTTTTTCTATACAACTTATCTTCTTAGAGATGGCTACTTGCCCGTGCAAAACATTATTTTGACATAGATATTAGTGAGTGCTTATTAACCTTTCCTGGGACAGGTGTGAAACTGACAGGCTACTTGTTTATGGCCTTGTCCGTGGCAGCATAGGACATTTTGTTACTGATCTGGTGTCAAATTTGTGAGAGATTTACATCTTGTTTTTTAATTACTGCCTGCCAATTTCAGTGGGATTTAGAGCCAAAGTACATGTTATGCACTAGATGTTTAAAAGAAACCTTAGAAGGTGATGATTGATGGAGGGAAGGCAATAGGGAGGATAGGAACATTTAATCAATTTTCTTCCTACATATTTTTTTTTCCACAAAAACTCTCCATGTGTCAAGCTACTTTGATTGGCAAATAACAAATTAACCTGATGATTTAGAATGCAATTAATAAGTCTCTTTCAAACATTCCTTCAGACTTCTAGATTCTGTATAGTATGGCACTCAATGCCTTATTTGCAACTGGATGGATGCATAGGATCAGGCTATAAATCATGTCTTTTTCTAAAATGAAACAATAGATGTTTCAGTTATAAATTCCTTTGCTGTTTATAATGTCTTTGAGGATTGCAGCTCAAGGTTTACAGGTGCTTGCAAATTTTTGCTCTGAACTTTAATCTGATAACAAATCGGGATCCCTTTACAGATAGTCCTCAACCTACGACAACAATTGAGCCCAAAATTTCTGTTGCTAAGTGAGACATTTGTTAAGTGAATTTTCCCCATTCTACAACCTTTTTTGCCACAGTTGTTAAGTGAGTCACTGAAGTTAAGTTAGTAACTTGTTGGTTAAGTGAATCTGGCTTTCCCATTAACTTTGCTTGTCAGAAGGGGGACATTGCAACTGTCATAAATATGAGTCAGTTGCCAAGTGTCTGAATTTTGATCGTGTGACCATAGGGATGATGCAATGGTCATAAGTATGAAAAACGGTCATAAGTCACTTTTTTCAGTGCCATTGTAATTTTGAATGGTCACTAAATGAACTGTTGTAAGTTGAGGACCACCTGTACTATATGGTTCACTTTTGATAAATTTCATGCCATAATACCGTATATGCTGGCGTATAAGGCGACTTCCGCAAGTGTTAAAATCGGCGCCAAAGACAGGGGTCGTCTTATACGCCGAGTCGTCTTATACGCCGGAAATACTGGTAGTTTCCGGCGTATAAGACGACGTTCTAGGAATGCGACTCGGCGACAAAGACGGGGGTCGTCTTATATGCCGGGTCACCTTGTACGCCGGCATATACGGGTACTTAGGATTAAGTAAAATTTTGCTAAAGTTGCAATCCTATATATAGTTTGCTGGGAGTCTCCATTCACTGGCATTTGTAAATATGATGGTATCTTGGTACTTGTCATTAATCCATTCTGGGAGGAGCAACGAGAACTAAAAATAAGTACTGAGCAAACCATGTGACCTACTCCGTGACTCTTTATATTGGCCAGAAGAGGTAGCAAGTCTTGAGGCAGCCGATGCTAGCAAGTTCTACCTTGCACATTGAGTACTAGGAGAAAGATAAGTACTGGGACAAGATTTTAGTTTCAAAATGCATCGAGTACCAAATTTTACGAATTTTGAAGCAGCCGAGTACCAAGATATGACTATATTAAATTGGTTGTAAGAATTGTAGCTGTTTGTTGTAAATATTAACAATTTTGTAAGTATGGATTTTGCACAGGATACATAATGGGATTTCTGCATGTATTAGAACGCACAGAATTATCTAGTTAGTTTGGTGATATGTTCAATGTTTTTTGTCTATGATACATTATAAGTTTATTCAGGGAGCCCTTGTTAAACTGTAATAAAAATTTATTAATATAAATGCATGAAGCTTCTAAATGTAGTGTTTTACATGTCTTCATGGAAGTCCTTCAATGTTAATAATTACAATATTGGTGCAGCATGTTATTTTGGGTTTGTGCCTGAGCAAGTCTTAAATTTCAAATCAGCATCTCTCGCAGTGTGAAACTGACTTCTGTCCAAGATTTAGATAATTAATTCCTAGCTGTATAGAGGTGGTTTTTGACTTATGATCCATCACTTAGCAATCTTTCAAACTTACGACAGACTCTCTCCCCAAAAAGGTACTTACAACACCCAGTTCTGAAGTTCTGACAGTTTCTGGCAAAATCATTCCATACTGAACAATGGGTTTGCTTAAAGACCACAGTGATTTGCTGAGTGATTGCCATAAAAAGAGGTAATAAAATAGGTCACATGGGTGACCTGCTTTATGACTGTCACAGCTTACAACTGTGGTGGGGAGGCTCCATTACTGTTGTAAGTCGAGGATTACTTATATCTTGTAGTTTCACCCAGAAACCTAAAATGCACATTGTATTTCCTTACAGTGTACAAGCTTCCAAGTGCACAGGTTTACAAGCTTCCTTTACAGCAGTGGCTCCAAACCTTTTTTATACCCCTAGAATGCTTCTGATATATTCTCGCACTCCTTACAAAAGTTCAAAATAATGGCAACAAATTATGCATATACACTATAATTTTGAAAAGCCAGGTTTTTGCACCCCCTGGAATATCGCCGAGCACCCCTGGTTGAGAACCCCTGCTTTACAGTACCCCCTAAAGAGCTTCCATAGCTGAACTAAAGTTTTCCCAGTGCTAGTCCGTACTAGACCAGCTCCTGGATCAAGTACATTTAGACACACTGCAAAGTTCAACACTTCTGTGAATATTGCTGCAAATGGCTTCTGTTTCTCATAAGAAAAGAAATACCTTATTCAGAGAAGCAGTGGCATTCCAGCTCAGTGGTGTCACTACCGTTTGCAACCGCATTCTGTATTTCAGGCAGGATTTTTTTGCTAGCTCCCAGACACCCTTGCCTGAAATTTAATTACTTAACAAAGATTGTTCAGCAAAGCCTCTCTTCACCATGAGTGCATCTTTCCTTTAGGGTGAAAGTAATGATTGCAGTCATGTGAATGTATTAAGACAACAGAAAGCAGACATACCGTGGCCACTGTAACATAGAAGCCCATTCATAAAGCAGCTGTTACAATGAATTTGGTCAGTATTAATCAAAACCTAAACCAGCCTCCCAACATGCTTTCTATCAGCTCAGTGAGATTACAGCATTCTTACAGATACATTTGATAGCAGAATGTTTTCTTTTTTAAAGCTAGTTTGCCAGTTTCCTATTTCTATATCCGCTGTTAGCACTACAAGGCACTTTCTGAAAAAGTTCGTGCAAGTCTGCAGAGTTTCTCTTCAGGTGGAGTCTTACTCTTTTGTTGTTATGTGTTTGAAGCAAATAGGAAACCCCCATGCAGTTTAAATTGTCAATTTTTAAATGTATTCATGAAAGGAACAGGGTTGCTGCTGGAAGTGTCAGCGGTTGTATGAATTGCAGCAACATAAGGAGAATAGATCTTCCCAGCATGGCCATAAAAAAAGATTCTTCTTCAGTCTTTGTCATTCTCAGGCAATGGCTGTCCCCACTGTCCCTGGCAATGAGGTTGCCCTGTTATATCTCATTCACTGATGAGCTGATATTAAAATCTCAAACAATATGCATTTGCAATAGCAAGTGAATTTGCTTTCCTGGATCCAAAGGCACAGAATTACTTCCCAAGAAATGGCTAGCAAATAGATTTGGAGTAAAATTACAAATAGCCTTCCCCCCAACAGGCAACATAGCTTTCATGACAAATGACATGGATTCATGCATTTTCTAACTTTGTTGCTTAACCCATCCTAAGTCATAAGGGGAAATCCACTGGTTGTCTTGGCAACAGCAGTCTCCTCCCTTGCCCTTCTTTTTCTCTAACATCCAACAAATCTATGGGCATAGAACTCATGCAATCCCATCAAGTTGGATAGTTAGAAGACACATTATTCCACCCCTGTAGCTGCAGCATGAAGTTGCCCTCCTAACATTTTTAAATGACAAGTCCTTATACTTCTTTCATCTTATTCCCAGCCCATGGTATAACAGAATGACAGAGTTGGAAGAGACCTTGGAGGTCTTCTAGCCCAACTCCCTGCTCAGGCAGGAAACCCCATATCCTTTCAGACAAATGGTTATCCAATCTCTTCTTTAAAATTTCCAGGGTTGGAGCACCCACAACTTCTGGAGGCAAGTCATTCCACTGATTAATTGTTCTAATTGTCAGGAAATTTCTCCTTAGTTCTAGATTGATTCTTTCCTTGATTAGTTTCCATGATCCATTGCTTCTTGTCCTGCCTTCAGGTGCTTTGGAGAATAGCTTGACCCCTTTCTTCTTGGTGGCCGCCTGTAGACGCAGCTTAAAATTGTATTCAGCTGTTCCAGTTTTTAAAAAAGAGTTTTCTCTCCTCTCCCAACACACTTTCTAAAAAGCTTCATCAACCATATGGTTGAAGATTCTGCCAGGGCTGGGATCTCCCCAGCTTCTTTGGAGCTCCTGATGTGGCATATACACACACATACACCGCTTCAGTTGCCTGGCACTGTCCTCCGTGGACATTTTTGCTTTGACTGCAAAGATATCAAAACCTGGCTTGTACTGTGCATCTGCAGTGTGAATGCCTGTCCAGCATTCTGAATAGCACCAGTCTAGCATTACACAGGTTCTTTATATGCAGAGGGTTCCCCGTCTGAAAGAAGACTAGGTCTTCTTTTAAATAACGTATGAATGTAGAGCTTTTTTTTTTTTTTGAACCAGTGCTAGGTCTGCAATTAACAAACAGAACTAGTGTTTTCAAGAGCCTGCTAGTTCTGTGATGCAAATGTCTGAAAGAGACCTGGATTCTGCCAGTTGTCTGCTCCATTGTCAAGTTTTTTAGATGCTTCACTGAGGTCACATGGAAGTTAAGAGCAGTGCAGAGCAAAGTGGAGGATATTATCCCAGCACTTCTCACAAACTTGAAACGAGTTTCATCCCAATTTATCTTCTGTATTTCTGCTGGCCCTATCAACTAAGTTACTTTTAAACTATTTAATGCTGTTATGAAAGGGTCATGTGCACTTCTGTGACTTTCAGAACTAGGCTATAACTTTCTGTATCTCTGCTATTTGGGTTTTGTGTGGAGTTTTGCGTCCCAGAACTATAGCACAGCCCTGGTTTGAGTTGCAGTTTTTATTGGTGAGGAACCAAATCTAATATCATGGGAATGCCTGCTTTGAAATCAGTACACATAAATGAGGATGGTTAACCAGTTTGGCTGCAATGAGAAGCACAAGTGCATAGTTCCTCACTTCTGGGGATCCAAGCCAACCATTGGTCAGACATATTCCAATTACCACAAGAAGCAATGAAAGAGGCTGTAGAGGCCACATGAGAAAGGTGTGTTTGAGGAACATCAGAAGATGGACATTTTACGTGGCAACGGTGACCCTATGGCTGAAACATGAGGTCAGGCCCTCTACTGCAGGCCCAGCCTTGGCACTGCTATTGAGTACCACTGTTCATGGTGGCCTAGATGGGGGTCTTGTGGAAAAAGTAAAAGAACTTAAAAAAGACGTTTACGAATTCCAAGGGTGAAACAGAGAGGTTTATTTTTGTGCAAAGGTTCAGAAGCGATTAACAATCAGCAAATTTCTGAACAAGGGGGTGGGTCTAAACTAAAGCTTTATAGGTTTCTTTTTCTCAGGAACAAAGGAAGCATAGATAGAATCTTACATTGTATATGGAATCTACTTTGTGTAACATTCAGATAGTTTCTCACACATTAGGTCCATTTCTCATGGGAATACAATGAAGGCAGTTTTTACTTTTAAACAATGTTTCTAAATATGCATTAGGTCATTCACGTACTGTTAATACAGCTTTTGGCTAACACTGCTTTCTTCCAGAAATTATGCAGACACATGATTTTTGCTTTTAGTGATTTTTCATTATTATTATTCTACTTTATTCTTCTTTGTTCTATGTTATTCTATTTCTTTCCCACTTTACAGGCAGATAGGGAAGATTTTATTTTGTTTGGAGCAAGATGATATACCAGCAGAGTCAAATTAGGCATTTCCAAATTTTAGGCACGCTCAGTCCAAACTGTTGCCATCACTGCTATACAACATCATTCCCTTGAAGATCAGATCTTGCTGGCTTTTCACAGGGTCCTGAAAATGTAGTTTTGCCTTGGGACCTGGGCATGTGACAGAGCCTCTGCAGCAGCTTTACAGTCCTGATTGTTTTGATGTTTGGTTTCCTGGCTGCAAGTTTTACTTATTTTATTATTTTATATGCTGTCCAATTTTTTTTCTCATTTTTTATTTGTTGCAATGTTCTTTTTTGTTTTTATATTTGCTTTGTTTGTAAGTCTCCCAGAATCATATATATGAGATAGTCATGTGTACCCATATATGTGTATATAAAATCACACATATACCTAAAGAAACATGAATAAACATTTGCAACTTTAATGGGGGGGGGGAAGTCACACCTTCCTGGCAACAACCCCCTCCCCTTCATCTACATAACCGAAAGTCCCTTTCTAGCCCAGCCCTTTTGTGACGCCAGGTGGCTCCGCCCAATCATCGGCTTTTAAAGGGCCACAACCCGGAAACGACTGAGGTGAGAAGGTCGGAGATTTTACAGTCTTGGCAAGTCGATTGAGGCGGAGTCGACGGCTGTTCAACCTGGCAGGTGAGCCTTTCAAAGGTGGAAGAGTTCAGGCTGTCATAGAACCCCGAGATTGGTGCCAGGTGATTGGCTAAGACGCGTCATGTGAAATTCGTGGCGGGGCTCGGGGGGGGCTTAGAGAGAGAGAAATAGCTAGGTTGGGTTAGACCGGGCTTTCAAACGGAGCGGCGCGTGCCCCTCGCAAGACCACGTGAGGGAAGGCGAGCGATCGTATTGGTCGACCGTGGTTTAAGACCCGGTTGGAGAGCCATGAAAGGAGCTTTCGTGGTTATCAGTGACTACGAGCGGTTCGGGCGCAAAGCGAAGCCCAAAATCTCTTTGGCTCAAGGGAATTAACTCTCTCCCCTTGAGCGGAGTCATACAAATTAACTGTTTTAGTGGGTGAAGAGAGTAAGAATGTGCCGACGAAAACTTCCTGTTCGACTGGACCGTTCACCTGTTCTGGTGCGCAGTCGCAGAAAGGCCTTTGCCCACCATCGAGGGCCAGGGAGAGGGAGGAAGGGATTTCGTTGTCCCAAAGATGCTTTTTCAAGAGGCAAGCGGACTTTCTCCTTTTTCTTTGAAGACGTTTCTTAGATGAGAAGCGAAGCGTCTTCAAAGAAAAACGAAGTCCAGTTTCCTCTTGAAAAAGCACCTTTGGGACAACCATCACCTGGATGACTGAGAATCTCCATAGACGAGGGATTTCATGACTCTTATCGGTATTTTTGGGAGAAATAGCCTCCTTCAGAGGCTGGACTCTTTTTGAGTTGAAGCGCTCAGGCCTCAGGTGTTATGGCTGAGTTAGAAATGCGCCTTTCAAAAAGCGACCACAGAAAAGTCATCCCGTTGAATAGTTTGAGAGTTGAAACCAGAATATTTAATATTTCTTACCATCTAATCAGACTAGAGCTGGTAGGGACCTTGGAGGTCTTCTAGTCCAACCCCCTGCTCAGGCAGGAGAGCCTATACAATTTGAGACAAATGGCTGGCCAATCTCTTAAAAACTTCCAGTAATGAAGCACCCACAACTTCTGAAGGCAAGCTGTTTTATTGGTTATAATTGTCCTCATTGTTAGGAAGTTTCTCCTTAACTCCAGGTTGCTTCTCTCCTTGATTCGTTTCCATCCATTGTTTCTTATCTTGCCTTCCAATGCTTTGGAAAATAAGTTGACCCCCTTCTTTGTGGCAGCCCCTCACCCTTGTAATATGTACAGTTGAAAACCATAATCCAAATTTCAGCTGTGAGGTTCTAATATTCCATACAAAAGAATGTTTCAAATGGGCTGTTCTAGACAATGTCTTTTGAGAACAAGATATATTTTATCTTTTTTACATACATAAATAGATGTCAAGGTTCTATTTTGCTTATGGTGGGGTTCATGTACTATAAGTTGTGATGTAGGGTTTTTCACATGCTATGTGGTGATAAACAAGCTATTGTGATCTACAATAAATGGGTTGTATAATCCCAGCCATTTTTGGTTTATGAAACTATAGCTAGTATCTCTCCTAATCTAGCATGTTCAATGGCTACTATCTCCCCACATCTAGCATGTGCAATGACTAATAGTTCCCCACATCTAGCATGTGCAATGGCTAGTATCTGCCCACATCTGGCATGTGCAATGGCTAATATGTCCCCACATCTAGCATGTGCAATGGCTAGTATCTCTCCACAACTAGCATGTGCAATGAGTCTTTAGCTGAGAACTATATTTGCAACTTTATTACATTTTTTACAAAAATATATTGCATTCATTTACTGTACATATAAATATTAACACCATCTGTTGCTGATCATGAGCATTTCCTTTTGGGGAGGAATTAGAATACATTCTAATTTAAAGCTGCTTTCTTTCCACTGATCAGAATTTAATATTAAGAAATATTAAACTCTGCAGAGTGCAGCGGTGTGGGCAGTCTTTGGGGGCCCTAGAATGGGCCATGTTATATCAGTGTTCCATAAGCTGCACTGGCTCCCGGTTTGCTTCCAGGTAGTAGTAGTAGTAGTAGTAGTAGTAGTAGTAGTAGTAGTAGTAGTAGTAAAGTTGGAAGGGACCTTGGAGGTCATCTAGTCCAACCCTCTGCTCAGGCAGGAAACCTATACCATTTTGGACAAATGGCTGTCCAGTCTCTTCTTAAAAACTTCCAGGGTTGGAGCATACCGCTTCTTCTAACTATCAGGAAGTTTCTCCTTAGTTCTAGTTTGCTTCTCTCATTGATTAGTTTCTACCCATTGCTTTTTGTCCTGCCTTCAGGCGCTTTGGAAAATAGCTTGGCTCCCTCTTTGTGGCAGCCCCTGAGATATTGGAACACTGCTATCATGCCTCCCCCCTTGTCCTTCTCTTTATTAAACTAGACATACCCAATTCCAGCAGCCATTCCTTATATGCTTTAGCCTCCAGTCCCCTAATCATCTTTGTACTCTTTCTAGAGTCTCAACATCTTTTTTACATCGTGATGACCAAAATGCAGTATTCCAAGTGTGGCCGTATCAAGGCATTGTAAAGTGGTATTAACACCTCACATGATCTTGATTCTATCCCTCTGTTAATGCAGCCTAGCACTGTATTGGCCTTTTTGGCAGCTGCAGCACACTGCTGGCTCATATTTAGGTGATTGTCCACTAGGACTCCGAGGTCCCTCTCACAGTTACTACTATTGAGCAAGGTACCCCCTATACTATAGCTGTGCATTTGATTTTTCTTGCCTAAATGTAGAACCTTGCTTTTTTCACCATTGAATTTCATTTTGTTAGATAGTGCCCAGTGTTCAAGTCTGTCCAGATCCTTCTGTATCTTAAGCCTGTCTTCTGGAGTGTTGGCTATTCCTGCCAGCTTGGTATCGTCTGCAAATTTGATGAGTTCCCCATCTATCCCCTCGTCCAAATCGTTGATGAAGATGTACAATTCAAGGTGTTGGTCATCACCTTTAAAACTCTTCGTGGCACGGGTCTGGGTTATCTGAGGGACTTTCACATCCCAATGAGACTGATCTCCCCCACTCATGCTGGCAGAAGGAGAATGCTGTGGGTTTCATTGGTCAAGTAATTTCAGCTGGCGCAGTCCAGGAAAAGAGCCTTTTCTGCTGTGGCACCTGCCCTTACCTATAAGGGGAGATCCATTCCCATCCTCATCCATAAGGGCCTGAAGAGCTGGCTATGCCAGTTGCCTCAATGGGTGTGTGTGTGATGGTGGATTAAGGGAAGACCCCACTTCCCCTCCCACATGCATCCTGCTTCTTTCCATCTTTCTAACTGTAATTTGTTACTGTCATTAGGAATATTTATTGTTCATGGTTTTATTAGTTTTTAATGTTTCTAAGCCACCCAGAGTCGACAGGGGCAGCAAACAAATCAAATAAATGGATTAGGTGTAATTTGGCTTCCTAACCTAAAATAGAATAAATACTTCTGAGCTCCTTTTAACAACTGTGTGAAAGTGGAAGGGAATAGCTGAGTGAAATATTTTGTGGCTTATCCTAATAATACTAACTGGTTTTGCTGTACATCAGATGAACCCTAAGATGAAATGCTTTCTATTACTCCAAAGAACTTGCAGTGCAGAATGAATTTATGCAGGCATGAGTTCATTTTACCAGAGAATCTAATGAAGTACACTTTAGGCTACATATATTTATATCATCATTTATCATATAAAATGTCTTCAATATTTAACATACCTATTTTGTTCTCTACCTTGCTTCCTGGAAAGACAAACTATACTAAGGAACCTTTTGCCATTGAGTATTATACTCTGGAATAAATTGCTGATCCTTTTGTTTAAGGATAGAGGGTTCCTAGAAATATGAACCATTGAATGCATGTTTAGAATTGTGATAGTAATGTCTCCTTTTAGCCTGTTTTGAGCAAATCAGAGAAAATTGTTGGCCATCACGTAGTACCTATCTAGTATTTATCTATGGAGGATTACAGGGCTCAAAATGCCATATATATTCATGAAAAAATGCTGAGCCAAATCCCTTTAGTTTGAACTAGTAAGTCATATAAAAGAGTGACTTGGGGAGATACATTTTTTGTACATTTGCCCTATAATGCTATAAATATATTAAAAAATCTGCAAAACTTTACAAGTGCAGTCAGTCATTTTTTGATATTAATACCAAGGAGGGTGAAAGCAAAACACAAAAGGAATTACTGAATTGTAATATAAAATTTACCTGCAGAGAAGTTTTCTTTTCAAAATAAACATTTTTTTAAAAAAAAATGTTTGTTTTTGAAAATGTTACTTCTGAATTGTTGCTAATTTTTTGCCTTAACTGAAAACATTCTATTTTAATTCACTGAGTGTTAAAAAATAACATTTTTAAGTTGTTCAAAACTGTTTGTTTTTTTTTTAGGAATTGTAGCCTAACTTTCCCTCCAGCTCAAAACATTTATAGTAGACCTGTATAACAAAGATTTATACGAATTCTATCAATTATCATGATAACCATGAACAAAAATGTAGAAGAGTCTTGTGCTGTTGAAGAAAGATGAAGAGTAAATCAGATTGAGCATAAGAACCCATATTTGGGATTACATTTTGCTGACAATGGAGTGAAACATCCTTATTTCTTGGACCATCTGCAGTTGCCCATCATCCAGTTTCTGGTTTAGGGCAATCCGATCCTACTGGGAAAGGATGAACTGCAGGGTCACTGTGAGGAATATTCTCATATTTGACAGATAAGAGTTGTTCAAATTCGCTCAGAGTTGGACTCGGATGGGCAAGGCCTTATGTAGTTAGTTATTTGGAGTGAGTGTAGTCCTGTGTTTCCTGAGGAAGTAAAGAGGGTTCTCCAGTCTCTTAGCTCAGCTACCTGTTTGTTAGATCCAGGTCCCTTCTGAGGGGTGAAAGTCATGCAAGAGATGACCTGTAATTAGGATCATACAATGTCTTAAGGGGAACACCACTTAAATTCTTTAAGGAAAGACGATATAGTCCCTTTAGCCTAGAAAGAGCTTGTTGGTACACCCTCTCCTCAAGGAGACACTGGACCCAACAGTCCTGGTATCAACCTGCAAACTTACGGTCTTCAGGACCACTACATGCTTCTAACTTGTCAACAGTGTGGGAGACAGAGAGGGGAGAATTCTGAATCCACAGGTGTCCTTATCAGTGTGAGAGTTGGAGCCATTGAAGAGTTGTTTTGGCAAACTAAAATTTCTTCTCATAATAATTACTGAACAATATATTAGACAATGTGACCCGAACCTGTCAGAGAGGGGAGGGAAAGTTCCATCCTTTTAATTAACTGCTTCCTACCATTTCCTCAGAGTTAGCTTTCTTTTAACCCTACCGGTTTGTATATCCTCAATACAATAATCATTAGAGGACACAATGGTTCTGGTGTTCTGCTTTGGATGGGCTTTTCAGCCTGAGGTTGACACCTGGACAAGTATCATTCAGCGTCCCCTTTTATAGAGGAGGTCAGGCTTCAGCTCTAGAGAACCTGAAGAAAGCAGATTATTTGGACTTGTTTCATGTCAGCGTTTAGTACAGAGACTGAATTGGTTGTGCTTTTGATGACTTGTGACAAAACCAGGATGGTTTTAGTTAGGCATGTTCTCCCTGCTATTCCACATCACCATGAAACTGCTGGGTGAGATCATCTGTTGGATTGAGTATGGTGATAATGTTCAATTATATAACTTAGCCTCAGGCCTTGTAAATGATGTTATTGATGTCCTGTCCCAGTTCCTGGAGGCTGTGTGGATTCGGCTGGGAAGGGACAGACATAGGCTCAATCCCAGCTGGGGAGTCTCCATCTTTAGTTTTGGATTCAGTTACACTTTCCTATTCAAGACTGGTGCACAATTTGGAATAATTTTGGACTCGCGGCTTCTGCATGAAAAGCAGATGGCAGCCAATGGAGAAAGGATCTTTGCAAAGGTTCATCTTATGTGCCAGTTGTACCCATTTCTGAATCAAAAGGCCCTTCATATGGTCAGTAATGTCCTAGGCATCTAAAGAATAGATTATTGCAAATGCAGTTACTTGGGGCTGCTCTTGAAGATCACTCAGAAGCTACAGCTAGTCTGTAAGCATGGGCAGTAATAAGCATGCTGCAATACAAATAGTCTTAACATTATGACCAGTTGCTTATCAACCAAGCCCAAGAAAAGTGCTTATGACTCAGATTCAAAATTCTGATATCCGCAGTCATGTGACCATAATTTGTGATTTTCTTTTTTTGCTGGAAACTGGCGCTTATTTTCAGTTTCCAGCAAAAAATGCTGATTGCAATTATGGATTTGCTTAATGACCACTGCAAACAAAAGTCATAAAATCGGGTTAGTCCCTTAATAACCAGCACAGCTTACAACTATAATTCCAGGCTCAATTATAGTAAATTGAGGACTATCTGTATGCCCATTGCTCTATGAGCTGCACTTGTTTGGGTTCTGTAATTAGTAATTCACTGATTACTAATTTCTAATACTACCTATAAAGGAACACACACATGTGTACTAACTACCATGTAGATAACAGTTGGTAATCTTATCTTTTTTCAGGTTTAAACATTTCTGTTTGTTTAATAATTGTGAAGAAATACCTGTTATATTACTTCATCTTATGGTTATCTATTAGCAGGCACAAGGTAGTCTGGACTAGTCTCAATAGAAGTATATTGATGATTGCCGCCTAGCGTCAATGTGGATAAATTTAATAATAAATACATTTTATATTTATCACAAGCATTTTTTTACAGTGAAGCAGTCAATGCTGCTTAGAATTTCCAATTAATCTTCACAACTATTTGTGAAGTATTGTGACGTATTCTCTGTTAATTCTAGATTACTCGCTGGGTTTCATTTCATGCCTATATGTTAGCCCAGTGCTGAAGTGGAGCATGCTGCTTGCAACTTCAGTGTGGAAGGAAGGCCATTTATACACTCCTGTGCCTGACTCATGTTTCAAGCAGGAGTTTGCATTCATTCTTAAAAACAGGTATTGGAGTGTTTTGGTTCATGGAAGACTATGAACATACCACCGGGATGTTACAGATCACCAGCCATTTGGGAATTTAGAGAGGAAGAGGATGTCATTTGATTCTAGAATTTTGTGAGATTCAGCAGCAAGCCTTGCGTACCTTTCAGATATGTATGTTTAAAAATGATTTCATACCTTCCTTCGTTTCTTCAGAGGCTTCTTGACCTTTAAAAGACAGCTGCACGTAAACAGTGGTCCTGTTTCAAATGAAATTCAAATAACTGAATCCTTAATCTGTCTGTGAAGTCAAATACAAAGCATTCTCACAGGTATTGTTCGATAGTTGTAACGCTGTTTGTTTTCACAAACCGGGATTTCATAGTTTCACAGTGGACAACCGCTGAGAGAAGGCCCTAACCTTTTGATTTCAAAGGAGCTGTGGTTTCCACTGGTGCCTCCCTGGCTAATGTAAGAAAGGTGTTTTGCCATAAACGCTTCTGAGATATTTGGTAAGGTTGGGCAGCGGCTGCCCCAACCAGGAAGCCCGTTGTCTGCCTCTAAAGAAAATAGCAAGTTACAAAATGAAAGCATCAAAGAGCCAACAGGATGCGGTCCCAGGAGTCTCTTCTGCATGTGGGTCCGTCTTGAAAGTTAGCACTGAGTGAAGAGTGACCTTAAAACTCGCTTTATTCAAACAGACTGGGCTCAGGTTTAAAGTTCAAGGCATTTTGTTTTTTCACCTGTTTCCTACAGTTTTCAGGAACTTCTAAAGAATTAATATGTAACTATATCTGGTCACTGAGCCAACAGTGAACACTTTTTTTTTTTCTCCCAGAGAAAGTAGTTTAAAAAAAAAAGATAGAAAACTAAGATACTGTGTTGCAACACAGTAAAAATGGGTGAATTGGGATCTTTATAGAGCCATCAGTACTTCATCTTCTGCCCAACGGATCTAGGGATTTCCTATGTATCTCATATGGGGCATATTTTAATAATTTAAAATTTAAATAATTTCCCTTTGATTACTTGGTTTAAGAAAAAAAAATAGGACAGAGAGATGCTGGTGTTTCTGCTTTGTCTGGCTGCAACCACAGGACACATATACAGGTATTCCTAGACGACGACCACAATCGATAACGGTCATAAGTTGCACCCACATCACCAGCTTCAATTTTACAATGCTTTTTATGTGGCAGTTAAGCAAATCTGCAGTCATTAAGTGAACATCTCGGTGAGATGGGCAGCAAACATTTAATAAATAATAATAGTAAGTGCAAACCCATTCTTCCAAATGAGCATTATTTTTTTCAGAAATAAAAAAAATCCAGAAATTGTTTTTTTTAAATAATAATAATAATAATAAACCACAGTTATATGACCGGTACAAGTGGTCATAAAGGGGAACCAGTCACCAAGTTCCAGAAATGCAGTGGGGGGAGGGAGTTGGCAGGACATAACGTGCTTTATGATCTATAAAGCGCTCATTTATAAGCGACCAGTGATATAAGCGACCAGCCAATCCCTGGATATTCTTATAAAACTGAATAACAAAATCATATGAAAGTATGTCCATTTCAGCTTTTATCTTATGAAAGACAGCTTATCAGAGTGATGGCAAACCTTTTAGAGACCAAGTGCCCAAAAACTGGCCCCGCCCCCATTCCACCCCCTGCTCTGCCCCCCTGTCCCCCACCCTGCCTGCCTGCAGGGCCACTCACCACCTCCAGGGCCCACTGCAGATTGCCCAGGCAGCCCAGCAGCGCCATGGCAGCCACGCCCTCTGCCTATGCCCCGCAGCATCAACTGTGCGGGATGGGGCGTGAGGGTAGAGTCTTGTCTACTCTGCCTGGCTGCCATATCCTTGTCTGCGCTGCTCCATGTGGGCCACATTCGGGGGCGACTCTCCTTCAGGGGGGCTGCTGGTGAGGAGGTCGTGAGGGGAGGCAAGGCTGGGGCAATGGTACGTGTGCCCACAGAGAGGACTCCAAGTACCGCCTCTGGCACGCATGCCATAGGTTCGCTAACACTGGCTTATCACATCAAATTTCTAGCTCTTGGTTATTGATGGCTGTTATTTTTTTTTTAATTTTTGCTGGACATGGTGTATTTGGTTTGGCTGAGTGAGGAAATAGAGGCAGAGAACAAAAAATCTGAGCCTTTTTGCTAATATATTGCTCTTCGTTTGATATAAGCAAAATTTTAAAAACTACAATCCAAAATATTGTGCCAATATTCTTGCTAGAAAGTCTTGTATTATATTGTAAATTATCATTTTTATGCTTGCAATATTATTAAATATCTACAGTACGCTAGCCTGATTGACAGATCAGTCAAGTTTAAATCTGAGGTTTCTTCTGGGGATGAATAAATGTAGATTTACATCAGTCTTTTAAGTCCTTTGGATTTAAGTTAGTTCACTCTGCTTGATTCCCAAATAATGGCAGAAAAATGTGGAAAATGTAACACTGCAGTGATTCAGTAACAGCTATTATGCTAAACACGGGCATTTCCTAGTACTGCATTACATTTTTGCAAAACAAGAAAAAAAATCCAGGAGAAACCAAACAATGAGTGGACAGCTTGTCCTCCAGTGTCTCTGGCAGGATTCAGTGACAGCTCATTTCCCCATTAGTGCCTTATAGCATCTCTTAGAGTCTAGCTTTTGCATCAAAACAACAGACTTTCTATCACTTCAGGGATGGTTCCGGGATGTTATATTAGTTCCCCACTAACAGTGTATTTATAAATAAATTAGCTGCAATTTTTAATAAAAGTTTTAATAAAAGAAAAAATAATAAAAGCAAAAACATGCTCTGCTGTTGACTAGTTACAGCTGCTATTAATCCGCTTCAATACTCTTAAGAGGAATTACTGAATTAGTAGCTTGAAATAAAATGCATCCTAACAGGTCTGAATGAATGATCCTAATTAAAGTTTTTCAATTATTTTAATTTGTTCCCTCCTCCACCCCAATGTACTCCATTTCACTTTTTAAATTATTGTTACTTTTCCTTCCTCAGGTAAATAAGCCTTACCAGCAGTTGGATAGGCTGTCAGTTGTAGTTAAAAGAAATTACTTGAAAAAAATGACACATAGATTTCACTCATTTTCCCAGGATATTAAACTTTAATGGCTGAAGTATGAATATTTCATGACAGAATCTTTTCAATAAGTTGTTTTGTCCTGAAGTATATTGTGAGGCCTAATTTCTGACTAGTCAGAACTAGTTAAATACTGTAGTTGCCAACTTTTTTCTTTAGAATACAAATTAGGACACAACTATCTCTGCTGTTACATATTTTATTTATGCTGCCCAGTTTTTTTTTTTACTATCATTGTATAAAATTAAGCACCAGCTATTGTTATTTCCTCTTGCCACAAGATGAATAATTAGCCTTTCAATAGAGGTGAAGTGATTGTTTTATTTATTTAATTTTATTATTCTATTTCTATAAACTACCCTTTCAAGCCAAGTAACTCTAGGCAGTGTACCATTCTAAAACTATAAAACAGTTAAAACAATAAAGCATCCAAAAAAAAAAAAAAAAAACCCAATCACAATCCTGGAGCAATAGAAAAGTTAACATCCACATTTGTGTACATTAATCTGGTTAACAACAACAGCATGGTATCCTTTTGCACAAAAAGATACAATTGCAAGCAATTTGGCCACCTGGAATTTTTTTTTCCAATAGCTGAAATCGTGATTGCAGGATACAGCAATGACTGGGGGGAGAAATCTGTTTTAAACAATGCCTGCAGATTAGCCCAAGGAACAGGAGGCAGAAGGTTGCTTGGGATGGGAAGCACCAGGATCCCCTGCTTTGCTCCATGCAAAAGAGAAAGAAGGCAGAAGAAGCTCCAGATGCCACGCTTCTTCTCCCCACCCACTACTACCCAGAATCAGCGGTAGCTGTGGGGGGGGGGAACATGAGCTGGTTGGTTTTCCATTGAAGGGAAAACAGAATATGATTGTTGCTTTTTCTGCATCCAAGCCAAAGCTAAATCACCAAAGAAGACCAGAGATGGTCCTGAAACAACCAAAGTCATGCACACATAAGGCTACGGGATTGTTACCAGTACTTGCATGTAATTCCCCATTAATTAAACACCACCGGGAAGATGCTGCCTGAACATCTAAGCCAGGGGTGTCAAACTGCTGGCCCGCAGGCCAGATGCGTCACATGGAAGCCGCGCCCACCCCATTGCCGGCAATGGCAAAACCGGCCCGATACGTTGCGCAACGTCATGTGACATCGCGAGTTTGACATGCCTGATCTAAGCTAAACAGTGCAATTAAAATGTAACATATATTTCAGTACTTGATTTCCCATTGTGGTGTTTCATTTTTTTATATTTTTGTTTTGATTTGTAGAGGGCAATAAAATGAATATCTGTGGCATAAAATCCAGATCAGAATTCTGTTGTGAAATCACATCTGTGAGAGAAACCAATATTCTGTGAGGTCACTTAAATCAATATTTGACCAGCATTTGACCATGAAATTCCTATTATTTAAATCATAATTTAACTGTGTTTTAAAGTAGAGTTAAATGACTCCCACTCAAATTCTAACAAGAACCCCGCCCCACAAAACAACAGTCCTAAACTCCCCTCTGAGAGCCAGTTTGGTGTAGCGGTTATGGTACCAGTATAGAACCAGGAGATCATGAGTTCCTTTAGCCACAAAGCCAGCTGGGTGACCTTGGGCCATCACATTTCCTGAGCTATGGGCAAACCATTTCCAAAAATATTGCCAAGACAAATAGGCACTCCTCAGAACCCATGAACAACCTGAAGTCATACCCATATTGAGTCTTCTGGCCTCTTACAGCTGGATATTTCCTGGTCATTTCATCTCTCTTTTGATGCCTGAATGACACAGCAGCAAGAACAAAGTATCTATCACGTCCCCCTTTTTCTTAAGCTCTGGCATATTTCACAAAGTGGTGTCCTGCTTCTGCTATACCAGGACACCAGTCTGATTGTGAACATTTCAAGAATGGAAGAGAAGCTGCTGAGCATTGTGGTTATGTGTACAACCCATATTCATCTTGTATGCTTGGTCTCAGAATTCAAAGCAACTAGGGCAGGGGTAGGTAACCTTAGCTCTTTTATGACTCGTGGACTTCAACTCCCAGAATTCCTGAGCCAGGGAATGGGAAGGCTGAGCAGGTAACTGAAGGATTTCTGCTACAAACATTGGTCTTATTTTAAGTTTTAATTTCCTGACCGGCTATTTACTTCTATAAAATAGATTGCCAATAATTGCGATCTAAAAGGGAAACTATATTCCCATATTTAAGCAAAGCCTTGGAGACTTTTTTGCCTCTTGGAATCAGTTCTGTAACAGAAATAACCAGGGCTTCATTTCTTTATGATACGTGAAGATGAAGCTTTCTTCTGCTTTTTGGGGGGAGGAAAAAAAACCTTCATGTTCCCAATGAAGAAATTGCATAATGTAAACAGATATGAAGATTTGCAAACAGATATGAAGATTTCAGTGTACATTTTTAATTCCTTTTTTTATACTTACTCTGGCAAATGACCTCTTGATTGTGAACAATTTGTTTTACAATTTTCCCATTTAGAATTCAAAGTGAACAGGAGTCCCAAATGGGAAGTGATTGCACATATAACTCTGATTCTTTTTCAGTCCTCGGTGGGCAAAAATTTCTTCCTGAAGGGTCTGCATTTCTTACTCAAATCACTATCTGAAAAATAATGATATTTTTGTTCCAAAACAAAAACAACCATCATTAAATTCTTATCTTTGTGGAAGAATATAACACCCCTGAACTATTTCATGAGAGGAAAAAAGAGAAATATTTTGGAAGAAGGTTAAATGTAAATAAGCTAAATGTTTATGAAACAGATCAAATCATTATAATGTCTTGAAAAGAAGGCATCATCATTATACTGCCTTGGTTTTCAACTAGTGAGAATATCACTAGAACAGTGGTGGCGAACCTATGGCACGAGTGCCAGAGGCGGCACTCAGAGCCTTTTCTGTGGGCACATACACCATTGCCCCAGCCCCACCTTCCCTCACGGCCCCCTTCTCACCAGCAACCCCCCTGGAGGAGAGTCGCCCCTGAGCGCAGCCCACACGGAGCAGCACAACCAAGGACATGGCAGTTGGGCAGTGGGGACAAGGCTCCGCACTCATGGCCTGTCATGCGCAGGTGATGCTGGGGGCGTGGGCGGAGGGCGTGGTTGCCATGGCACTGCTGGGCCACCTGGGCAATCTGCAGCAGGCCGTGGAGGTGGTGAGTGGCCCTGCGGGCAGGTGGTGCAGGGGCAGAACAGAGGTGGAGCATGTGGGGTGGGGTGGAGTGGCAGGGAAGGGAGCGGAGTGGGGGGTGGGGCCAGTATTTGGGCACTCAGTCTCTAAAAGGTTTGCCATCACTGCACTAGAATATCACTAGAACTAAAGGGAATATTCTTCTGTTAATGACTTCATGGCTAAGGAACTAGGGAACAGATTGATACTTTCATACTCTGCTAGAAACTTCCAGACTCTTTTATGAGATGAAATTTGAGAAGGGGAGAAACAAAATGAATAAATATGTTGAATGTAGGTTGAGAAGACCCTGATCAAAGGCAGTTGCTATAGTGTGGTCTTCTATGCTGTTTGCTACTTTGGCTTTGTCATTGTCAACTTGGGCCTACATCAATGGTGGGATTTCAGCCGGTTTGTACCACTTCGGCAGAACTGGTAGCTAATTTGTTGTTGCCCAGGCCCAGAATGGACTTCTGGAAGCAGCATCCACACAGAGAAGCGGTTGTTCACATATTTGAATCCTACTACTGGCCTACATTAATAATCACTGTATTCTAAAGTCTTACATAGCATAAATTTTCATATGTTTTCCTAAAGATTTCTGAGAATTATAGTTTGAAAGGCATAAGAATTCATTAAATGGGGCCAAAAAAATTACGTTTTAGCCTAAGGGTACATCCAGGACTAAGGTAAACTCCATGTCTATCAATATGCATAGTTACAAAAATTAATCTCCTTTCACAGTTATATAGCCGTAAACTGACATATATATATAAACATCTTCCCAAGATATGCATAACCTTCTCCATGCAGTTAACTGACACCTAAGTGCATACATGTGCAAACCAAGTTTTTTATTAGGAGGAAAGATGCAGCTCCAGAGACTAAAAATATCTAAAAATATTGTTCTGGGTTTGGTTGGTTGTTCATTTTGCTTGGTTAATTTGTTTCATTGCCACTTATAAGCATTTTGGACCATTAGAAGGCCAATTTTAGTTCAGACAATTGCAATACACAACACATGTTCTAACAAATGAATGAGAGCAGAAAAAAAGGATTTGGAAGAAGTGTAATTAAGCGCAGGTTCAGGTGCACTGTCCACCATTTAAAGCAGGGCTCTCCAATCTTGGCAACTTTTAAGTCCTGTGGACTTCAATTGCCAGAATTCCCCAGCCAGCCAGGCTTAACCATATTGGCTTGGGAATTCTGGGAGTTGAAATCCACAAGTCTTAAAGTTGCCAAGGTTGGACACCACTGTTTCAAAGTATCTCCATTACCTTTTACTGCCCTACTAGCCTCCAGATGGTTGAATACAATTATTATAGTTATCACTGCCATCTGGGCTAATGGGATGGGTTATAGTCTAACATATTTAGAGGACATTAGCCTGAGAAAGGCTATTCTGCACCTGATAATTAGAGATTACATTGTTGTGCTAGAAAAGCAGATATGGTCTTTCCTGGACAATTTTTGGCAGAGCAAAATCCTGAAAGCATCAGATATATTGAGCTTTAGTTAAACAAAACCACTGGAGAGAAAGGGGGATATTACTGGATCTTGTGACTTTAATAAATATAAGGGCTTTTCTTTTTTGTGTTAGAAAAGCTGCTTTGAACGTGGGATATAATATACCCACAGAGAAGATGAAAGTCAACCCCTATTTCTGTTAGTGGCATTTTCTTCTCTATTAAAAACAATATGTCTTGTTAAATTCACTGACAAATAATCTCAGTGGCTGAACTAGGTTCAGCATTGCTCAAAACACATTTTGCATTCTTTATTTGAAGTATTGATATTTCACCATTCAGTCATGTCTGACTCTTGGTGACTTGGTAGGCAAGTGCTCTCTATGCTTAGAAGTATTAGAAAACTTGTTTCACTTATGGATGAAAATGCACCTCAAGAGGTCACCAGATGTTACATCCCTTAATCTTCTGTATGTGAAAAGTATATGGAGCCCTGTTATTCCATGCATTTTCTTGTGTAGAGAAAGACAGCTAACCTATGTGTCTATCTTCCCTTTCATCCTTCAATACTGAAAAGATAAATGACCCCAAATGGCTAGTGGACTGAAGACCTGATATAACTTGCAATCTCTGAACAAACTGTTTACAGACGTAAATTATGTCTGGAGGATCACAATCAGATAATTTACTTTTTTAGATTTATTTTTAAATTCCATCTTTATTATTTTTATAAATAAGGTGACAAACATACATACTACTCCTTCCTCCTATTTTCCTCACAAGAAATACACATTCCCTGTAATGTGAGTTGGGATGAGACTAACTGGCCCAAAGTCACCTAACTGGCTTTAATGCCTAAGGTGGAAATTGGACTCAAGTCTCCTGTTTTCTAGCCTGGTGCCCATTAGACCAAACTGGCTCACTATTTATTATAACTGTTGACCTTTATTTTAAAAAAGTATGAAAAGCTCTTATATCTCAATTTCTTTATTATTTTGCTTTTTCTTCTTGTTTTTTTTTCTTTGTTCCATTTAATTATGTAAAGGCACAGTTATGATTCTGCAGACATAAGTTCTTCAAATTGTCCTGATCTTTGCTGAGATGTCAAAATTCTTTTGATGAATATTTGTAGAGACTAGGAATTTAAAGATCTTTAATAACTGTTTGTAATAAGTGGTTTATTTGGAGGAACGTGCTAAACCATTCTCAACTGGGCACAGTTACCTGATTGCAGGGAGAAAGTGTAGGTACAGAAAGCACTGGAATCACATACATGGCTGCTTAACCCAATTCATAAGACTTTTTTGGGCAGTTGCAGGACCCACTAGAACAGCGGTTCTCAACCTGTGGGTTGCGACCCCTTTGGGGTCGAACGACCATTTCACGGGGGTCGCCAAACAACGCATTCCACCATTTTTTTCCCCTTTTCCTTAGCTGTGCTACTCCCTTTTATTCTATTGGCTTTTGAAAGCCAATAGAATAGACTCTCTTGAATAGAGTCTAATTCTATTGGCTTTCAAAAGCCAATAGGAATTGTCCAGGCTGTCTCTGCCCTGCTGAGCCCGCCAAAAGTCCCATTCTGCAAATGGTGCTGCAAGTTGTCTGCAGCGAAGGCGAGCTGTCTGGACCCCTCCCTGCTGAGCAACTACTAAAAATGTAAGTAAAAGAGGGCCAGGGGGTGGGAGGCCGGCGGGCGCAGGGAGGGTTGCTGGCACGCGTGGGGCCCGGCGGGTGCCTTACCTCCCTTGGGCTGGGCCAGCTGGTGGCCCAGCCGGTGGTCGGCCTGCTCCGTCTCTGCCGCTTGCCAGCTATACCTCGGCCGGCGCAGGGGGCGGCACCACACATGCGTGGTGCTCCCAGGCAGGGAAAGTCCTTGACTTACGACCGGTTGGGTAGTCCTCGATTTATGACCAGTTGGGTAGTCCTCGACTTACGACCGGTTGGGGTCGCAGCATTAAAAAGGTTGAGAACCACTGCACTAGAACGTTATAAACAAACTTATTACAACTAGGAAGTTGTCTAGTATCCACAACAATAATCAACTACTCATTATGTTCACTGTAGTGAAAAGCTTTTGGAAATTTTAACACAAATGTGAGAAATAGCAGTTTATACCCTTGGCTTGTTTTAAGCAAGTGCATTTACTGCTGACAGAGAATTAAATGCAAAAATCAATATTTTCTTGCTTTCTTTCAGTCCCCTCAGTTGGAAAAATGGTCCGGGTGTTTGTCTATGGAACACTAAAGAAAGGCCAGCCAAACTATCCCCACATGATAAATGGGGTTCATGGGACATCCCAATTCCAGGGCAGAGGACTTACAGTGGAGAAATACCCACTAGTGATTGCAGGCAAATACAATATTCCTTATTTGCTGAATAATCCGGGAAAGGGGCACCGTGTCACTGGAGAAATATATTTTGTTGATGATCAGATGTTGCAATTCCTTGATGAATTTGAAGGATGCCCAAACATGTATCAGCGTACTCCAGCAAAAGTTGAGGTACTTGAGTGGGAAAATAAAAGTAGCACATCTGAAAGAATATCACCAATTAAAAACATTCTGGAATGTTATGTGTATAGTACTACTACTTATCAGCCAGAATGGATGCATCTCCCTTACTATGATAACTATGATTCTTTTGGGAAGCATAATCTTTCCTACGTCTTACGAGAAAGCAGAGAATAAAAGTGGAAAATCAAACAATGCTTCCAGCTATGAACACCTACCCAGATATTGAAGAACATCTTTACTATTTTATACTAAAATGCAGTCCTAATTTACCTCTTCAGAATATAATTGAACTTGGTTTTAAACTTCATCTAGAAGACTATTTGTGGGCGTGTGCAAGTAAAACTTCCATACCAGCCAAAAATGGACCAAGGGAGAATGGGGGAATCCATTGAACAACAGAGAGATGCCTTCAGAATCCAACGATCTGCTTTCCAATGACTTCCAAATGAACAGGATGATGAAAGAATGATATGAATGCCAGCACTTATGAAACGAAACATTTGTCTTGCTAAGGTTAAACAGGGTAATTTAAATATTTCAATTATGTTAGAATACTACCAATATTCAGGTAGTCATATCACCTCCCACAATGAATGGGGGAACGGCATGAATGGAAGAGGAGGCAAAAGTGATAATAGGCCTTATATTTTCATTCCTTAGGGCCCATTTTTGGTTAATGAATACTGTATTTCTTACTCAGCTATTGATTTTATTATATATAAATTGCCTCCTAATGTCTTCTTCAGCTATTTAAAACTGTATTACTTATTGTTGGTTGAAAGTTCTGAATCATCAATATTTTGCATTTTTACCATCAATGCATAAGATTTTTATATCAGTGATATACCCATTTCTTTTTTGTCACTGACTTCTTGCAATGTATAATTTTCATACATCATGCTGGTTTTCTTAATATGAACCTTCTTAAAATTATTAATTGTATAGTACCAATGAGTTAAAAACTGACAAAATTCTTATATTACTACTGGTTTCAAATAATAAGGTAATATGTTCAAAACTTTCAGAATTCATGGATTTTGATATTGTCAAAAATCACTATTCTAGAGTTATAGGACCTGAAACATGTAGTCTCTTTCATTTTTTAAATGTGGCAAATTCACAAGTGCTAAAATAAATCTATAGCTGAATAAAAATACAGGTAGTCCTCGACTTATGACCACAATTGAGCCCAAAATTTATGTTGCTAAATGAAACATCTGCTAAGTGAGTTTTGCCCCCATTTTATGATGTTTCTTGCCATAGTTGTTAAGTGAGTGACTGTAGTTGTTAGTAACATGGATGTTAAGTGACTCTGGCTTCCCCATTGACTTTGCTTGTCAGAAGCTTACAAAAGGGGATCATGTCACCCCGCAGTACTTCCATCATCATAAATATGAGTCAGTTGTCAAGATCTGAATTTTGATCGCATGACCGTGGGGATGCTGCAACTGTTGGAAGCGTGGGAAATGGTCATGTCATTTTTTTCAGTTCCACTGTAAGTTTGAATGGTCGTTAAACGAACTGTTGTAAGTCGAGGATTACTTGTATTCAATTTAAGCATAAACAGGGTTTCCTGTACACCTAACCTTCCTTTACTCATTTTTATAAAAATGGTACAGTATGAGAACAGAGGACAATAGTACGTTGCCTTTTCATCTGCTGTAAGGGAAGGAGAGGCAGAGCCTGGAGCAGAGTCAAGAGAGGAACCAGCTTGGAGTCTACATACCCACAAGCAGTCCAAGTTCAGCCCCTCCTGAATTCCCTTAATTCTTTTTTTTTCCTTTCAAAAGTTTATTTAGTATCAAGCAAGAATAAACTTTGCTTAACACTACAGAACAATTCAAGACTCAAATTACAAAATACCAAATTATTTGCATTTGTGATCTCTTTCCCTTTTTACGCATGTTTGCAAGAGAAAAAAACTAGCAAAATAGTTGAAAGGTAAAACTAGAGAACAACTTAATTGTTGAAAACCTTTAAAATGAAAGGTTACGTCTAGGTTAAAATAATAGATTAACATGTTTAGTAAACATATCTGGTTTTAACACTAGTTAAAGGTTTTTTTTCTTTTTGTATTTTTTTAATCACTTATTTTCCTTTTTTTTTTTCTTTTTTTTTTCTCTCTCCCAAATTACAATCCAGAAATAAGAAAGCTCATTTCACGTGTCTTCCTTCCTGTACAGGTTTTTCAGTCAGCAAAAAATAGATTAAGCTCAGTCCGTCCATTCAGATTAAGCACTTTGATTTCAATAAAAAGGGATTGTTCATAGAAAAAAATTACTTTGAACAGTTTACAGGACTGGTGGAGATTGGGCAATTCACAACATCGGACAGAATAATCAGTATCTGGCATTCCCTTAATTCTTATCTACTGCCAATTTAGTGATGATGTTAATTGATTAGATTCCTGTGTGTGTGTGTGTGTGTGTGTGTGTGTATAAGCAATAAATCTGATTAACTGCAACTTGACTCTTTGTACTTTACATCTGCTACCTTAATAGCTCTCTGATAAGCTACTTGATCAAAAATTTCATCTGCATTCTTCATCTCTGTATATGAATCTGATAACATTTGAAAGGTGTCAAAATAGCTCAATTTTGTCTTTTCTTGGACTGAAGGGAAGGCCTCTCAGCTAGTCTCATAATGCCAACAACTGTTGTTCTATAGTCAAACATAAAAGTTGCTCTGAGAAAATATTTTCAATCTCATATATATGCACACACATCCACACACACACACACAATCTTAAAAACTTTAAACATTACACATAGTTTATATGCCAAAATGTTGATTGTATTAATTTTATCCATGTAAATAGATTTAATGAAAAGAATTACAAATTTCATATATACAAATATTTATAATGGAGTGAAGGGGAGTTTCAGGAAAATGTTAATTTAAATTATGAAAGATGACCTAAATCAACTAAATGCATTTTTGTTCTGTTGTTTGTAAAAAGGTATAGCAATAGTTGAGTTTACATAACTCTTTTGCTTTCATAAACATTCATTTTAATTTCTGGTTGACCATAAAATAGGCAGCTCCGACTGTTATAACTTTAGAAAGAAATTATTTATTCCAATTCTGCAAGTTTATCTCCTTCCGCAACAGTATCACCAATTTTGCAGTATACTGCTTTCACCTGCAACACACACACAAAAAATACATTGGTTCTAAACACATTTTTATTTCTAAATTGCAATTAGTTATACCTAGAGAATAGACTCTGCCAATGATTGGAGCGGCTTTGCCCAATTACCCTTCCTAGTCAAAGTGTCTTTTGTATATGTGTGGGGGGAGGTGTATGTATGTACGTATGTCTGTATGTATGAAGCCCCTTGTTGATGTGTGTATTTTTGAAGAAGTGACAGCCTCAGATTCTCAAGGAATAGATTTGGAGGGTTGCATCGCTCATGGCATTGCCCTGCACGAAGTCCCTTGCAAATGGGTATATGCTCCTAAGCTCATGCATAGTCAACCCCATATCAAATATATAAACAAACATGAAATTATTGATACCTTAAAAAAGTGTCCTTTGGAAGAACTTTAAACAAGTTCTGTACACTTTGCATGTTTTCATTTTTACCCAAGCACTGCATCAATACATGACTATATAGTCTTTGACACTATATATAATTTTCTGATCTGTTCTACCATTCTGTAGAAAGAAGGATGCAAGAAGCTCTATGGGGTAGCCCATATGGCCTTTTCCACCTTTTCTTGGTTTTAGTTGTGGCTTTTCTAAGCTCATGGCAGTATCTGAGATTCCATAATTCTGCTATCTTTATTATTTATTAATTAGATCAATTTACATCGCTGCGTACCTTACAATCCTAAACATTCCTTTTAGTGTTCTGAATGAACATGGAAATGTTTGCTGAGGTTATGAAGAAAAGTCAGGACATAAATCTAGCACAAACAAAATATGCTAGTCCAGTTGTAGCAAGCAAGGAATGACCTCATTCCAGTTCTATGAATGCACACGTTTTCCCATGTGCAGAATACATAAAAGTTTGGCTTTGCAAAAGATAGATCAACACACACTTTGTGGGACATAATGGGGCATGACCAAAATGAAGGCTGGAAAAAGCTTATCTAGAATCTCGCATGTAACATAGTTAAGTCCTCGATTTCCAAGCATTTGTTTAGTGACCGTTCAGTTACCACGGCATTGAAAAAAGTGACTTTTTTCTTACTTAATGATCATGGCAGCACCTCTGTGGTCCCTTGATCAAAATTGGCCATTTGGCAACTGGGATGTACTTAGGGCAGCTGCCCTCTCCCGGGGCCCTGTGATCACCATTTGCAGCCTTCCCAGATGTCATTCGATAAGCAAATTTGACGGGGGAAGCCAGATTCGCTCAGTGACCACACAATTCATTAACAACTGCAGTAATTTACTTAACAACTGTGGTAAAAAAAGGTCATAACATGGCAAAACTCATATAGCAATTGCCTTGCTTAGGAACACAAAGTTTGGGCTCAGTTGTGGTCATAAGTCGAGGTCTGCCTGTAGTGGTTTATATTTTATTTTTATTATTTTATTTGTTTATTTGTATCCCACCGTGATTGTTTTTACAAATAGCTTGAGGCAGTGAACATATCCAACACAATTTCCTAGTCCTGTTTTCCCTACAACCACCTCCCCATGCAGTGGATTGGACCCGAGAGTGACTGGCTCAAGATCACCTAGCTCAGTGGTTCTCAACCTTTTTAATGCTGCGACCCCCAACCGGTCATAAGTCGAGGACTACTCAACTGGTGCAGCACCGTTTGCAGAATGGGACTTTTGGCGGGCTCAGCAGGGCAGAGACAGCCTGGACAATTCCTATTGGCTTTTGAAAGCCAATAGAATTAGACGCTACTCAAGAGAGTCTATTCTATTGGCTTTCAAAAGCCAATAGAATAAAAGGGAGTAGCACAGCTAAGGAAAAGGGGAAAAAATGGCAGACTGCGTTGTTTTGCGACCCCTGTGAAATGGTCGTTCGACCCCAAATGGGGTCCCGACCCACAGGTTGAGAACCACTGACCTAGCTGGAACACTCCAGGAACAACACTGTTGCTATTAAATTGTGACATTAAACATTTTGGTAGTCTAAGTCCTGGTATACCACTAAAATCTCAGTATAATACCCTGTAATGCCAGATTTTCTGAGTAATCCTTTCTTTCTTTCAATAGGGTTATATTCAACCTGTCAAGGATTATAAGAGTGTAACTAAGACATACCTTGCCAGTTTTACCAGCAGGCAAACTGTTCTGCATTTTCATAGCTTCAATCGCACAAATTTCTTGACCAACTGCAACCTGGTAAAAGCAATAGATGTTAAAAAAATAAAAATATACCATCAAACTGTTTCATTCTTTAAGAAAATTAATAAAGTGATTCTGTTTGGAGCCTGCTAGTAGAGGAAAGCAGGCAGCTAACAATCCATAATGCAATTCCATTTACCTGTAGCTATGAAGGAGATTGAACACGTTGTTTCCTTAAAACAATTAAACATCATGGCTGAAATATGAGAGTATTTTTCTCTAATATTCTCTTCAAAAGCAACTGCTTCTGAAGAAGAGAGTATGGACCACACCATCCACTCGGGACCAACAAGATTCTGAAGTGGATTGAGGAGGTGGAATATAAAGAGAATATAAAGCAAAAGAGCATTCCCATTTGCCTTGGAGATTTTATAACACTGCTTCCAAAACCCTGTCGGCAATGGCTTAAGGTTCTTCCATAAAATGATCTCAAATACCAGGTGAATTAATAAGGTTATGGCAAGGATAGGCATGCTGGCTCAGGAATTCTGGGAACTGAAGTCCACAAGTCATAAAAGAGCCAAGGTTGCCTACCCCTGGGTTAAGGTAATAAAAAAAATCAGCCTACCTGCCAATTTTTAATGCTTATTTTGTTTAATAATATTTAAGGAAAATTCAATGAAATTAATCAGTAAATCATGGCTAAATTTTTATTTGAATAAGTAGAAATTTAAATATAATCAGTTTCAATTAATGCATATGTGCAGTAAACAAATGGTACTGAAGAACCACCATCTACAGCTTTAGATAAAATTCTGATTACAAAATTGTACATTATAAAGAAAACTAACTTTAATTTCAATCCTGAAATTATTCTAGGTATCATACAAAATCAGAAAATCAAATTCAGAGCTGCACTATATCAAACGATATACTTATGAGCAGGTGTGGGCTTATATTGCTTAATTTTTCTCCTGTGTAGAGCATTTAAAACATCAGGGAGAAAGGTGCAAATTAGTGAAATTTCTCTAAATTGTTTATATTTTTCAAGGTTTCTTACTATTTTTGTACCTTCTTTCCATTTACACATTTTACATTTATAACCTGCAGTTGTCCTACTATGATATTACATTTTTCAATTGTGTTTGAAATTTACAGTTATGATTCTTTCAGATTCTGATCCTAAAGAAAAAAATGAAATATATTAAGAAACAATACTCCTGTCATATGTAAAATCAATTTATGGTACAAAAGTTAAATATTCATCTCTTTGTAAGGGATTCTTTTTTTAAAAAAAATCTGCCATTTGCTAATCTAAAATGATGCTTTGTTTACATAATGGCCCTGGGCATTCAGTCATCTTATTTCTGTGAGTTCTCAACAAAAGTTTGCAAGCAATCATGTGACCATGTGACTTCAGTTATTATCTACCAGTTGAAGAGATGCTGTATTAATATAGTTCAACATGGGCAAAGGTTAATATTTAGGATTTTCTCATCATTTGTTTTACATACAAAAAAGACTATAAATTCCATCCTCACATTTGCTGAGTCCTTGAAGAGTAATACATTAGCTGCAAGGCTTTATACACAAAAGATCATGGTCCTTCCATGCATTTCCTTGTTGTCCATCTTTTCATCTACACTATCATACATGATGTACACAGAATTCAATATATACATGACTAGGAAACCATAGAACCTTTTGTCAAATGTATATAAACTGAAACAAATATTCACCTCATATTGGGGGTAATACTATAGCCTACATGAATATGATATCCTAATGGAACATTAGTTATATGTGAAATTGACCTCTGTAGAGGACCAATCGGTATGTTTTCCAAGCCAGAATATTACACTATAATAAGCCATCTCCCCTGGAAATATAGGCATGATTTTTCTCTTTAAGATTGAAAGGTCTGTGTGAATTTGCTAAATATATGGGCAGGACAGCACAGATCTTCCTACTGAATTAACACCCTCTATTCCATGGGAGAATTATGTTGTGGGTAAAAATAAGAACAAATTTGTTCTTATTTATATATTTTAAGGCAGTCCTATTTTTGTGTATTAAATCATGGTTGTCTTTTAAAACTGAGCTCTTCGGTATTTTGTGGTGGAGTTCTCAAATAAAGAAGAATTCTAAAAGAAATCTGTATCTGGAAAAAGAGCAAAAAGGAGTTGAAAATCTTTAGAGATAAACTCACCTATTTAACTTTCTACCTTAAGGGAGGAAAAAACTGTATTTCCATAGATACCCACTCTTTGAACACTGGCTTTACTTCTAATAATAGTTAATTTGTTTAAAATGGTTTTCGTGGAAAGTGTCACTTAAAGCAACCACATTTAATAATTGTTCTTTATGTCAATCCTTTATAATCTTTCCTTCCTACTGTGTTGCAAAACAGCAAATCCTAAAATTAGTCCCCAATATCTCACAATTTCCTACTTCATTCATTCTCTAGGGCTTTGTTCAGTTTCTTTCACTGCATAATTGTGTGTATCTTTTTGCCTGCCTGTATTATTTAAGCTGGAAAATGAATATGTTAAGGGATCTCTAAAATATCCTCTTTCATCATTTAAGGATTAAGTTCAGCTTTTAAAAATCTAGTAACTTTTCCAAAGAGATTGAGCTGCCATAAAAGTATATGTGTACAAGTTATATCAAATAGTTTATATTAATTAAATCCACTTCTGATTAAAATGTGTCTTTATATATCAGTTGTGGTTTTAATGAAGGTTTGAAGTGGGGAAAGGAATTTATCAAGTATAATCCAAAAGATTTATTCACCAATACCAATTACAGCCTTATATTCTTTGATTTCTAAAAAAGGCAAATTTAAAAAAAGAAAATGCAATTTCATATATATATATATATATATATATATATATATATATATATATATATATTCAGAAGAAACAGAATCTAAAGTGCTGGGATTAAAGATAAATGTAAAAAATATTATTTAATATTTCATTCTAAAATGAGGTATAACATCAGATTCAACGGTGTGTTGCATCAATTCTTCAAATTCCTGTTCATTTTAGCAATAGAAAACAAAATGTGGGCTTAAACTGAGGATTTGTACAGCCTTGAGGCTTCTGCAAAAAGAATTAAAATATGGCAGGGCTTCTTGAATAAATCGTTTTTCAAAACTGGAAGTACACAGTTTGTGTACAAAAAAGAATAACAATAAAAGATTGCTAATGGTCTTTCTATGGACATTTAGAGGTACAATGAGGTCTCAGACCATTTTTTGTGAGCCTGGCCCACTTCCCTATTACCTCTGTGAGTCATCAAGACTTAATTATTGTGACAGGGTATCTTCAATGTAAGGCTTACAAAATAGTCACAAGCCTTGCAAGTCTTTTTGATAAAACCAATCGGCCCTGATGTATTTCTCCACTCTGTCTAATTGGTGTAAAGTTTGGAGATCTGACTCTCGTATCTTTCGCCCAGCTTGCTGCATCCTCTCCTTTGACACCAGGTCAAGGTTCACATTCGCCTGTGATTATCAAAGTGGCATTCATTAAGCAGCAGTCTGCCTCGCACCAAAAGGAGTTAGCTTGAAGGAAAGAAACCTCGGCCCATTTACTCAGCAGATTTTAGCATTTTAAGAAGCCCCAAATGTCACACAGTATTGCTATGTTTTGAAGAGTTTCAGCTGATGATTAATTGTGAGTGATGGGAAATAAAATCCAGTAAAGCCAGCTGCTTGCCATGGTTGGCAAAATTGCTATAATGGATATAGGCTGCCAATTTTCCAGTTTTACTGGCAAGTCTTCCAAGTGTAATTAAGGGAAGTTATAAATGATATGGAAATCTATCAAGTCCTATTTATTTTCAGAGAACTCTTTCCCCGGAGACTTTTATCTTCAAGCTTATCATTTGCTTTGTTGTGCTAATGATTTCATCCATTTATTTCTATTAAAGCCCCAATATTCCATCATAACGAGATAGATCCACTTCTCTCACAAAGATTTAAAGAAATGGAAATGTCTTAAGTCAGACTGTAAGCTTTGTATTTTCCTTTTGTAGCATTTAAGCTATAGCTTTGTTTGCTTTGTGGAAATTCTATTTGAAAATACTTCATCTTTTCTCTCTTTTGAATCAGCTACGAAACCTTGAAGAAGCAGCCCAGATTTTGAGACGATGAAGTCACCCACCCTTTAGGGAAGAAATAAAATAAAATGTCAGCAATGTAAAAAGGGGTCTTTGATGCTACACATTGAGCCCGAGAGAGGTGTTGCTCACTAATGTAGTTTGATTTGGAATAAAAGCATGAAAATGATGTGCAAGGGTCTAAAATTGGAGAGGTAAAGGATGAGTGCACCGTATTCCATTTCTCAATTTCATCCTTCAGAACCACAAAATGGGGGGTTATACAGTTACTGGATGAGATTTGCGGTAACAGCTGTGGTCCTCCCACACAAGGGAGGACCTTCTAATGGGGAGAGGTCTGCTTAGAACAGACGGGGAGTTACAAAACAAGATTTCCTATTAAGGACAAGCCCTAATATCCTGGCTAAAGAACACAATGAGAAAAAAGTCAAATTGCCTTTAGGTAACCCCAAATCCCACTTTTTGCAGCGTCAATGAGATGCACGCATTCACAAAATCTGGAACCATTTTGAAAAGGCAAACTGCTTATAAATGACAGAATGCGAAAGCAAGAAGACAATTCCCCAATCCCACCCCACCCTGCCACTCTCTAGCCACTGGAAAGCCTGCACAGGAAACTGTGCCAGTGGCATATGGCTTTCTACTGTGCTAAACATTCATACAAAAGACAGGTTCATCAGTCATTGGTATATCTGGATGGGGGGGCTGGGGGGGAGGGAAAAAGGCTTCTGATGGATGCTATTTACAGATGACCTGCTGCTAATACATTACCAGGGCTGGAAACTCTCCTGACATTGGAACAGCAGACCATGAAATACAGCACATACAAGAACATACCATGTTTGCCAGCTTCCTCAAAATAATAAATAAGCTATTTAAACCCTGTGCCTAGTATTGGGTCTGCTATAAGGAAGCCTGGGTCAGTCCTG